TTTCCAATTTGAGGCCAATAAAATGTTTACATAAAAATAAACGGAAATACAACAAACCTCCAAATGACAATAGTAAAGAAATCAAACAACATATGTGTATGTAATTGTAGCAGTACCAATACTAATCCAGTTACCACTTTCAAGCTAGTTATCAAACGTGTGATCATTTATCAAACATTATAGGTCGACATAAATCATTTATTATAATAATAAATAATAAATATCAAATTCATGTAAAGTTTTTTTTATTATAATTAATTCTAAATCTGCAGAATTCTATATAGCATTATTCATATTAATTATAATGAAAAATTGTACAGATATATTTAGATATGTAATTTTGAAAATATAATCAAATTTGAATGAATGATTATGTACTTGTATTGTTTTTTTTTTTATTACAAACGAATTAATGGATCACTCGCAACATCATTTTTGTTTCCTCTTTATGCGAAATTAAAACAGATCGATTTCAGAATTGAGCATTATTTTTGATACCGATAATTATAATAATTAATCGTATTCAATTATATGCCGATGCATTTACCAATGAATAATGCAATATCGATGTAGTTATATCGTCCGTAACAATATGCATTATTATTATATATACCTATATACGATATCTGAGTGATTACTTCAAATTCATTGCGGACATCCGACCGTGTTATTTAAAATCAAAATTGTATGTATGGAATTCCCTGTCCACCTTTACAATCTATCCAATTCTGGCAAAATATGTACGTACATATACGTATAGCTATCTGAAATCCAGTATTTGCATAACGTAGGTATTCAAAAACCATGTCAATATAAAAGCCATACGTAGTTAAATATAAATTTGTTATATCGATTACGAATGGAAACAAGGGCAAGTGCATATACTCAGAAAATGTTTGGATCGTGGCATGCATTTATTACAATTATAAACAAACAAAAATATTTAATTCTTACTCTCACATACTATATATAAAAGAAATACAAGTTATTGATCACTTTTAGGTATGTTATAACGTATGTTATGTCTTTTAAGTTAAGTAAATATTGATCGATGTCGCACTACGCGAGTTATTGGTGTATACAGGATTTAAATCTAATTTTTGTTTAAGAAGAATTGTTTAATTGCATTATAATCGAATGAACAAAATTCACAAATGAATTAGCTGGATGTAGAATATATGCAACCCACAGATCTACATGAAATGGATTGCATGGAAAGTCAAACACAATAGCAAATACAAAATCTGAATGCGTCTGTAACGTAAAATCGGAATACATTTAGATGGCTGCTCAATTTGAATTGATACTAAGGTGTAATTTGAAATGGATGCATGGAAAGCGGTCTACAGTAAGAGGGGGATGCCCCCAGTGACCCCCATTTGCATTTACATCTGTGTTGGAAACTATAAGGGACCTTCGACATGCCCAAGGCGGTGCGGTTAAGATCCAAGCACCAGATAAGACAGGACCTTAACTATTTAATAAGATTGTATGTGCGCCTCCGCTGATTGATTTTTGGTCGGGCTGATGTATTCGGTCTTCCTTTCTCTCTGTCTCTCTCTCTCTCTCTCTCTCTCTGGCACATACATTCCCACTTCCGAGAAACTCGATTAAGGTATGTTATTTAGCATCCACAGGTATGCCAGAAGAAATAACAGCGGCCGAAGACGTGCCGGAGCATAAGAAGTTGAGGCTTACAGATAACATTGAGGTTCTGAGGGCGTGCGAATTAAGAGATTGAAGTGTTATATCTCCTCGATGCGGAAAACACACACACCTACATTGTTTCTTTCTTTCAGTTCTACGACGAAGACAATCCGGGGCATAAATCAAATTAAATAGAATACAGTGAATGAATGTCGCCAAATATAAAGGGAGCAATCAATTCTACTTCCGGAACCAGCGAAGCGGAACTTCAAATTATAACCAGATAATCGTATCAGGGTTAGCTTAACGAAAGCAAGAGAAATGGACACACTGATAGAAACTTACGCGCCACAATTAATATAAGAGCCTCGGGTCTTCTTTTCGTCGTTTCCCCTCCTTAAATAATAATTCACACATGATCCTATGCAATAAAACCTTATTTATCAAACAATAATTTATAATAAAGCACCGTCTTCCTATATAATCGCAATCGGCGATAATACACGGAAAATGTATAATGAGGATATTTATAATAAAGAATTACTAAATGTTAGGTATTACGTTGTAATGGTATAGAGGCAGTGCTGTGCTGTATATAACTGATAGAATCTGCACGTGAAAAATGCAAGCAGTTCCCGTGGAACCGGAAGTTTTATAGTCGCAATTTTTAATCATTAGCAGCAATATATTTGATGCAATCTGAAAATTAAATTGCACGGTTTGAACTAATTAAAATACGAGAATCGATGCGACAGTTCCGAAAGTCAAATTTGCAGAGAAAAATCGTCCTGATATTTTATTAAGCCTGTATATACTGAACGGTGTACGAAGTCAGCGCTCGTGATTGAAGGATTTACAGGCGGGTCCTTGAGAAGTTAGGTACGGGCCGGAGGGTTGAAAGTGAGGAAAGGAAGTAATTTCAGCGAAACGCATTACACAGATTATTTATAATACTTTAGAATTTATAAAAGCAAATACGCTAAGCGCTCACTTCTTTAATTGTGTCATTTATTATTCACGCTCTTTGATTTACAATTACTTGATTTAATATTTACCTTCATGATTATTTATTACCACTTGCAACATGTAATGCTATTACTATTATTTACAACATACCAACTCCGCTCATACTCCATTTGTATAAACACTCCAAACTCCCTTTACTCATTACTATTTATTAAAGATTAACATTTCAAAATTATTTTCCGGAATTAATATAAATTTATTAAAAAAATAGCAAAAATATATTTATTAACATTATAACTTGAAACAAATCTGTATTATTGTGATTTATATATATGTATATATCAAAATTATGCTTATCTTAAATTAACTGCATTTAAAACTACCAATATCTTCCAGACAATATGAAACCAATTCTATCTTCTATAAAACATAAACATAAAACATAAATAAAATATGCCTAATTATTAATATTTATTTTGAATAAAATTTACGATTTTGATTATCTCACTTCAAAATTAGTTACTTAGAGATAATATGATTAAGAAAAGTCTGTTGATATTTTGATTTTAGATTACTTAAACAAAATTAAAATGTGTATATAATTCTTAAAAATTCAATATTAAAGAATAAATGAATACTTGGTTTAAAGCACGTTAAATAATTAAATATATTTAGATATGTATATGTAGACGTAAATAATTTAACGTTGCTTGCAGTATAGAGATGAAACAGAAATGAGACGACTGTGCGCAAGGTGTAAATTGTTTATTAAAGAAGGAAACATCCTCTTTAATTTCATAAATAAATAAGAGCTGTCTGGTCGGTAATTTTGCGATTACCTAACTAGGCCCCCTATTTATGTATTCCTTGACGTTGCATGCATTCAGAACTGGGGTGGAGTTGGGGAAGAAGAAAAAGAAAAGGGGATGGCCACCCCGGCGTTAAAACGAAGATTTGTTCATTATAAAGTGCACCCTATTTCTCATCGACACCGCCTCCATCGCAGCCGGAACGGTCTCTTTCATCGCGGTCTTCCTGCATCATCATTAAAACGATCACATTGGCGTGCATTAAATTAAGGCTGGATAATTACGGTTACATTTAGCCATGCGGTATATGGAACGTTCGATAATTGAAGCATTACATCACCGTATCGATTGGTCGCTGTACACGAGCTGGCACCGAAACATATTAGCCGGCGTTCGGTGGGATGAGAAATTAAAGATTTTCATCAACATCCAACGGACGGATCACAAAACGAAGCGCGATACAAGATATTCATCAACAACTTGTTTGTACTTGTATTTTATTTCTATCAGATTTCAATTACGCAGAAAGGACTTGGCTAGTAATCAATCCGGTGCGCATACGGCCGCACACGTAATCTTGTTGTTTGCCGCTGGAACTCTATACCTTCGGTTATAATTAGGGTCTGTGCGGTTTGGGCTCACCTCATTACATAGGTGCCCTAATTAACAAGGGAACGCTAATTAAATAAGCCCTGATTGCGACACCGATCAAACTGCATGCACGTATTACACAAAGACCCCTCTGTCGTCCAAATATTCGTACAAAGGTACACCTAAGCCATCGGAGGGATAACCATCACTGCGAGCAGATAATCAAACTTTTCACTCCAGCATTAATCTATGTTTTATAAATCCAAATCTCAAACGACGTATTTACCTAAAATTTAAATCTGAGTGTATGTATCTCCAAGCAATCTTTATTTTTACGTTTTGTCATAAGACATATATTCAAAAGCACTATTTACACTTTTTTAACAGTACATATTAATAAAAACCCATCAACAAGACAGACATGTACAAATATGAACATAAAATAACGAGTATATCAAAACAAACAATTGCAGTATCTACAATGTATTTTAGATTTCAGTCAAAAATAATATTATATACCGAAAATCTTTCTTTAAATTTCGAAGAATACATTTCTAAAAGTAGTTCGAAATCAAAACAATGAATTGTACGTTTAAATTTTATTTTTCAATTAAATTTAATGCAGAATGTGGAAACAAAATATTAAATTGTAAACTATACATTTAGAAAACTATACTCGCTAGTGCAGTGATAGATATGTAATTTTTATTTCACAACTTTTCTGATTCTAATAATTTATGCAATTGAATAATTATTGCAATATGTATTGTTATTACTATTCATAACATAACTAACACAAATATTACGAGTATAATCAACAAAATAATCTGCAGTAGCGCAAGTAAATTAAAAGCATAATCAATTAAGTATCACATTATGTCGCGCCATCTATGGGAATTCAGGTAATAAATAATGTTTTATATACGGTTAATTGAGCTAACAAAATCAATGTCACTAATTATAAACACGCAAAGCGCTAGTTTAAAATATTTCTTATTTTATTATATAAATTATACAATTCGAATATATCTCACTAAGCATAATCCAAATGCTTCAAATGCGTAATGTTTATGGATGTTTTTAATTCATGTACTGTTGTTGATCCAATGAAGAAAACCTCACAAATTTTATCAACCATAATAAAACCATTGCGAGAAAACGATCCTTGGATATCCGTTTGCAACCAAACAAATGCTGCTATTGCGTTCGTTTCAATCTGTATTGAGAACTTTTCAGCGGTAACCTGATTAATAGATCGAATCTGTAAACAGTAACAAGAACATTATAAACAATTTAAACATATTAATGCGATTACTTACTCGGACATTAGCATGTTCAATGTTCGAGGTCTTCAATGCGTCAGGTAATACAAAATTAACTGGTGCAATAAGCTCATCCTTGTTATTTTTCAAAATGAAATAGATGAAACAATTCGTACGCGCGTCGCACTGCAATTTAGATTTGTCATACCAGAAGCTGTAGACTAATTGAGATCCGTGCAACTGCAACAAAACTGTTACTGCAAGAAACATTCGTTAATTCTATAAGTGTGTACCACATCTACGGATCTTGAAACGGAGGCAATTGGATTAAAGCTGTTCCAATTGTATGTATACATTGTTAATTTTGCATCGTAGACAGGATGCAGCAAATCAGAAATTATGTAAACGTTGATTTCTCGGTTTACCAGCACATGAGCGGTCACAATAACTGGTGCGAAAAAATCTTTCGCATAATAATGTAACATTTTCCAATTGCCATAAAAATCTGTAACGATATAACAATTAAGTTATATATTTAAGTATATTACAATACTGTATCCTAATATTAATTACCAATTCCAGACCAGGAAGGAGCCGCCCATACATCATTTAACTGCCAATACAGAGCACCCATGGTGTTACCTTTACCTACGCTGTTTGTTTTGTTCTGCCATTGCCTGTAGTATTCAGTTTCAATCTTAATTGACATTGCTTGCGAGATCTAATTGAAAATAATGAAAATAGGTAAATAGATTTTTTATTGCGATTATTGTAATATACTTGAGAGTAAAAAATGAAGGCCTTTGTGAAATTCGCACTGTTTTGGTCAGGCAACTGTAATCTTTTTGATATAAGTGTTTGCATTGTAGCAAAACCTCCAGGACTATGCTGCCTATGTTCCATGAACTTGCTACCAATGATTATGTCGGTATTGTCGTTGGTAGCCTTCAATAAAGATTCTAGAAATGGCATCGATTGATAGCCGTATTCGGAAACAAAACGGGCAACGGGATAAATGTTCTGATCCCAACCATCCATTACGTAATTATAGTAGTGTACTGCAAATGTTGTTTCATACTCATCACAAATTCAGCATGTTTAAAATATTACCATCGCCGTTGAGTTGATCCTGCGGATTCTTAGCAATAAATCCACTCTCTTCAGATTTTATACCATTTGTCGGACTGGACACCAAGAACGGTCTTGAATCATCATTCATTAAGGCCACACTTCTTACCGTGTCTACATACAACTTGATGTAATCCTTTTTATAGAGAGTAAAATTTGCGTCAGTTCCATACCTAACAAACATTTGTAAACGACACATGCATAATATTTGAAATCGTGGATTTCGAAAGTTACCAATTTTGTACTAGGGCAGCTTCATTTTCATTATTTCCAGCCCAAATTGCTATGGAAGCGTGATGTTGTAATCTGCGAATTTGCTGCTGCACTTCCATTTTAACCGTACTACAATAATTCATTAAAATTACTGAAATATAAATCTTGAATACGTACTTTAAGAATTCCTCATTTGTTGGGTACATTGAACATGCAAACATAAAGTCCTGCCAAATCAGTATACCCATCTCATCTGCGACACTGTACAACTCGTCTGATTCGTATACGCCTCCTCCCCATATTCTGATCATATTCATATGGACATCTTTACATGATTGCAATAAATACCTAATTTTTTTAATATCCTGTCCAAGTTCAGGCAAAATACTTATAGGAATCATGTTTGTTCCTTTAGCAAAAATCGGTATATCATTCACTTTGAAGAAGAAATTGAAACCCTCTTCTGTAATTACAGTAACATATTATAATTATCACATCAAATAGTAATGTTAATTTACCTAAACGTTCCTGTACAAGCTCTATTTTTCTTATACCAACTCGCAGACGCTTAATGGTAGTTTCTTGATTATCTGAACTCACAAATTGCACTTTTAATTTGTACAATTTTTGCTCGCCATAACCATTAGGCCACCATAACGTAAACTTCTCCTATTTAGGACAAATACATTAATTAACAAAATTTCATTAAACAATTATGTCATCATTATCAACCTTTCTTATTTGAAATTGCCTGTGATCCTCAAATTCTTGTATCTTGTCTTTCTGGTTTATCTCATGCATATATTCTATAGTTTCAAAGTCAGTGCTCAATTTAATTAATAAACTTCCACTTAAACATTTCAACTTATTCAATTGCATGTAAGTCTTTAGATTGAACATCCATTTATCACCTAGATCCTCTATTTTAACTGTAACATCTTTTATTATAGTGTGATTGTAAGCTTCTAAGTATACCATTTTCCTATAATGAAACAATTTCAAACAAATTAATAGAGACTAAGGTGGACTATACCAACCAAATTCCCATGGATGGAAAAGCAGGACCCCAATCCCAAGAAAATGATGCCTGCATTTTTCGGATGTGATTCACATGACATTCTCCATGATATTCGTTTGGCACACATTTAGGTAGAACGCTATAATATTTATCTTGTCTTTTGGCGAAGAAATCTGCACGTTCTACCGGAGATTTAAAGTGCACTAATATGCAATTTTTGCCAAACTAAAGTAATCATTATTAATTGATTTTTTTTTTATCTTATTTAACTTACTTCAATCTGATCTTTCACATCAAATTCATACCTAACAAACATATTGTTTGTAGTGCCTACAGTCTGGCCATTCACCAATACTTCAGCAAATGTATCAATACCTTCGAATACCAAGTAGATCTGATCATGATAGAACAATTTCTCATTCACTGTAAATATATAATACTAGTACAGAATTGATGCAAGATATATAATTGTTACCTTCAAAACACCTTGAGTAATTCCAATTCAATTTTGAAACCCATCTAGTATCAACATCATTAGATCCAACAAATATATTATTTATGACATTACTATTTTGTAAATCTGTGTAAATTCCTCCAGGAATAGTCCCAGTCAGGTTTGTATATTCTGCAACAATTGGCTAAATTTATAAATAATATAGCACTACAACAACTACTTACTTGCATTAGAATCTTCTAAATTCCAATAACCATTTAAAATTAATCTTTGGAGACTATTAATATATGAAATTTGTAATAGAGTGTTAAGAATAAGCGCACAGAATTTAACCATTTTAGTGACTGTCAGATCAGCTGATTAATAACAACACACACTGTATGCAGCCACAAGAATCGACCTTTGCCCGCACTCAATCGCAATCAAATACAATGATATTTCACGATTCATCGACTTATAAATATTAGGAGGAATGAGATTATACAAACAAAATATGAAAATATATTTTACTGAAAAGTAAATTCATTAAAGAGTAAATAAAGAAACAGTAATAAGAAACTAGAACAAACATAATGCTAACGAATGTATGTACAATTATAGTTTACATTTGTTTGTATACAAATTATTTTTTATTTCTGAAACATTCTGTGACATGTACTTCATAGTCAGTGTTTACAGAAAACATCTGTTCACAATTAGCACATATTAATGAGTCAACAATGGATACTGCTTGATCTTTGTTTGGTAAATTATTTTCAATTTCAAGTTCTGCAGTTATTCCGCACGTAGAAGCGTGTTCCTATAAATTAACATAATTATTGAACATTAGATACACATAATATTGATAATTTTAAATACCTCAATTTCCTTTTGAGGAAAACTTTTACCACAAATAGGACAAACTGTTGTTTTTTTGTTTTGCCTTCCATTTCTTTTAACAAAATCAATACTCTCAATAGTATTATTTATATCAGAATTATCTTGTGGTGGCTCATCAACTTAAAAATAAACACAATTACAATTTTTGAATTAATTATTCTAAAGCAACTTACTCAATTGATAAGCTTGCTTCCTTCTGTACCCCCTGCGACCAGCAACAGGTGGGATAACTCTCTTTTTAATACCAGATGTGGATGAATTATTATCAGGAAATGATGGTTCTGAGGGCCTAGGAATTCTTGAAGAAGTTATTTTTAAATCATAGTCCATATCATCATCACTTATTTCTTTTAATGATTCTTCAAATATATTCATCTCTGCTTCTTGTTTTTTACTTTTGTTAGTTTCCTCTATACATTTGTCGAACAATATTTCACATCTCTTTCTTTGGTCCACAATTTTGGAAGATTTTTTTAAGTTTAAAGCACTGCAATTTGCATTGACAGTATTACTTTTAGAAGTAGGTGTATTGATTTCGATAGTTTTTGTGGCTGAAGAATTTTTCATTGGAGTATCTGTGAACAATGACGATTTGTTCATGATTTCTTCATTGGACATTTTTTTGGTTTTTGGCTTGGGAGATTCAACTTTACCTTTCTTCTTTTTTAACAATTGAAATTCGTCATCTTCAGTGTAAATTTTTCTTTTCATGTGCCTTCCACCTCTAGATATATATGTTTCTTCCTCTACTTCTCCTGCTGATTCATCCATATTTTCATTTGATTCCTCAACTTTATTTGATGGATATATTGCCTTTCCCCATTTAGCAAAAACTAGTGATTTCCTCTGGTACGATTGAAAATTTTGTGATTGCTTGCAATGGAAATTCATAATTCTCTCAATTTGTTCAGAAACAGTTAATGATTTCAATTTAGACTCTGTGTAAAATGGTCCATTATACTTTGGAGCATGGCATACAATTTCCAAAGGGTCGTAATCTGTTGATTTGGCATTATAAATGTTTAAATTTTGCATTATTTGACATGATTTGTTTGGTGTTGATGTTGAAAATTCTGTATTTAGCTTCCGTTGTGACCAGAATTTGGTGGTTAAATTGATTTTAGAGGAATCGAAGAATTCATCATTATCAGATTCATCCATGAACATATCTTCAGTTTTCAATCCATCTATATTGTTACCTTAAAAAATAAATAAATATGAATTATCAACAAAAGTAATTACATTAATTTATAAAATTATATATCAGGACTTTACCATTTAGTTCATTCCTTGCCTTATTAATATCCATGTTGTCTTGCCAATATTTTCTATACAACAATAATATTTACGCGATAACTATGCTCGTACAGATTGAGGTTAAGATTTTGAGTTTGACAAATGGAAACATATTTTAAAAAGGCGGGAAAGCAAGCGCAGAATTCTTTGTGAATTCCGCTGATGCTGATGATCAGTGGTAATCAGTAGTGATAGGGCATTCAGAAAAATGTGAAGCTTATAATTCATATCCTTTAATAATATCAAAACAAGATTCATAAAAATTAGTTTATATAAAAAAAAAGTAAATAAAAATAACAATAGTGTCTTTGGTTATCATAAGAGCTAACATAAAAGTACTTAATTTAAATTAACAATTATCCCACAATCACATTATCTTTTTATTTAATACATTAGGAAGGTTAGTTTTTTACAAAATAATTTAACAACGTGTTCAGTCTGGGCTTTTTCACTTGCAACCTCTCTTCACGATCTCGTTCTCTGACGTAATTCTGCCACAGCTCTCTCTGCATGTCTTTAGGTAATTCTCTAAACACTTCGATATCGGCATTGGGAGGACAATGGAAACTGTCATCAGATATTTTCTCGCAGTTGATACGTAGCTCTGCCACGTTCAGCTTCGAAGGTGAGGGGCAATCGGTATTTAGATATCTTCGAGCGATGAAGGTGCTTAACTTCTTCTTCTTCGGCGAAGGTTCCAGCTCCGATTCCGAACCATCGGTGTTGAGATCCGTGGATGAATTTGAGAGATCCATGCCAGTTGATTGCGACAAGTCTTTCATGTTTTCTATACTTGTGATTGCCTGCACTTCAAGATCTTTCTTGAGGAACGCGGCTATGGAATGCTTTCCTGTCGCCCGTTCCAGGAACTTCGTAAACGACAAACCCAGTAGCGTTATGTGATACGGCTTTTTAATATCCACTATCCTTATGAACAGATCCATTATTACTTTTACCAATCTTTTTTCTGATGCCTCTGGAAGCATTTTCCCATTTACACCTGAGAATATTGATTGATTGACGTTGCACTGCTTTGTTTCCCTGTGACTCATTTTGCTAGATTTATCAAATTTTCTTACAACCAATTTTATCGTCCGCGGAACTCTTCCATCCTCATTTAACAGTATCATTAGCCGCTTTAACAATTGCTCAATTTTATCCTTGATTTCCCGCTCTACCGTCATGGGCCTGCATGCATCCTCCAATCCAATAACCTGTGGTTTACCCGTCGCTTTCACAGGAGCCTCGTCTACCCCGTATGATAAATTATAAAGGTATTTTGCTTTATCAGGTGGAAATAAGGTCTTCAATTTGTCTGGTGTGCTATTCTGCATGTCTTCAATAGATTTAATACCGATCGAGCCCAAACATTCGCATATGGACTTTCCTGGAAATGTACTAATAAGATCATATTTATATTGCAGTATATTTTAAAGACTTACCTATGCCAGGTATACTAGATAATTCATTTAAACTGCTTACTAGGTCCATAGCATTGTTTGGAAAAATAATTGTCTGTTGGTTTGGTTTGTGAGTAGCACCCACAAGTTTTGCCATCAACTTGTTATGAGCAACACCAGCACAGCAAGTCAACTTAAATTCTTTGTTTATAGAGTCTCTAATGTCTTGAGCTATTCTTGATCCTATTGTTAACCTCTTTTTACAACCACATTCACAATATTCTAAATTATCTCCAAAAATATGACCCAAAACTGTATCTTCACTATTAAGTTTTTCACTTACTAATTGTGTAACATCCACAAAATTTTCGTCTAACCCTAAACGTTCCACTAGGCGAGAATAACTTTGTAGATGAGTGGTAACTTTGTATGATAATTGCCGATAGTCATGTAGATCTTCACCTTTGACTAACACCAGGTTTGAGCACAACTTCTGAGCATCCGAAATTAACATGCACTTCTTTATACCATATTCTCTGGCAATGTAATTACTGGTAACAACAATGTTCTTCTGATAAACTCCAAATGGTACATTAACTAATTGAGGATTTTTTATCATCTCAACCTGTGCATAGAAACAATCCATATCTATATGGATAATTGTCCTGCAGTGAGAATCTTCCTGCAACAGGTTCATCTAAAATAATAAACAAAAGAAAATTGAATAAAGAATTTAAAGAATGACAGATGAGTCATACAAATAAAAAACAGTTGCACAACATTCCATAGGATTCAATTTTTGAACTCACCTTTGTCGTTTGTTTTTATTATTGAGCTGAAATAATCAAATATTGAATAAAGTTTGATTATTCTGCAGATAAGTTAATCACATTTTGATGGAACCTTTAACATAACCTAAAACATTTAGTTGTTTGCTAGTCTACTACAGTGTGCGGTCCCAGTGTTTGTTTGATTTGTTTTGTATATGCAACGTCGTAAATGTTCTTTGTACACAGTTGGTAAGACTTAACTTAATCTTATGTTGTTTACTATTTAGATCACATATTATAATAATTAAATACGTAAACACATCACACAACAATATCTTTTGTGCTAAATTTGGTTTTGCTGAGGTTAGAAATATTAATTTGCCAGAAGTATCTCATTTAATTGGTTGATGATGAACATGTGACCGACCAATGGGCGTCCACTCAGTTTACCGCCATAATAATTTAATCGTAAATTATTCTTCTTTAAATACTTTGAAACTTGACCTTATGCATACATTTTTATTGATAAGTTACTATTGTTCTTACAGTGTCAATATTTCCATATTTTTAATAATTATCTATTATGTTCTTTATTTATAGAGAATTAGTTATTTTACGAACTAATTAATTCGAATTACCAAAAAAAATCTGTAGAAACATGAATATAATTTTTATTTAAACGAAATGCAATTTAAGCCATTAGTTAAGCATTTGTTGTTAACAATTAACAAATGTGGTGTTTTAGAAATTTGATATGTGGTGAAGATGAACCGTATGAAACAAGCTCATTTTTTCGCTATTCCGACCCAAGGAAATGTTTATACAGTGAAACGTCTGGAACTAGCAGACAAATCAAACAAATTACTTATAGCCACTCTCAAAAGGCAGATTTACTTCTTTGAATACACAGAGAATTCTTCTGGTGAATTGATCCCTTTATCAAAAGAAGTATCTTTTACGTATATTCCAAGTAAGTTTTTTAATCGTTAAAATTACTTGTAGCTGGAAACAGTTGTGTACATTTATTTATTTTTAATTTAATAATATTTGTTTCAGGTGGTACTGAAATTATATCGTTGGACGTATTTAATAAATCTGAAAAGGGCAACGATTTCGTTATCGGCATAGCCATAATTAAAACCATCGTGGATACTGGAGTTCATGAAACATATCTGAATATATACTCGGAATCTGAGTCGAAAGTTTTCAATATTGAAAATATCGCTCAGAATTGTTTAACTTTGGAATTAAATTTTACACCATATCATCTAACACACACTTATCTTGTTACTTGGCAAGATGGTTCATTGATAAAGAAAGAGGTTCGTATTTTAATTGTTTTAAATATCTTTAGAAATTGTATTGATTTTCAGATGGTTTTCCTGCTATCAGGAAGCGACAAAAGAATCCATGTCTACAAAGAGAACATTATGAATCACTTTTACAAAGAGATAGAAGCTGATGATTTATTTCCAGAGTTTAATAATCTTCCAAGCGTTGCCCTGTGGATGGACGTGCATTACTACAAAAACTGTTCAGAGTGACTCTATTTTTGGTCAAATATAATCCCCTGTAACTATTGTTCTTATTTTAGACGAATTTCTGCGTATGGCACAGAATGCGGTTACCTGAAACTAATGAAACTATGCATGAAAACTAATAGTGTGCTATTCAACTATTCAACATCTTTCATAAGTCCTATAACGCAGCTTCGGATATATCCTTTTAACAAAACATGGACGAAGCCTACATTTATTACCAGTCATAAAGATGAAGATGAATTAGTAGACATCATTAATTTGAATATAAATGAGGGGATGTGTGATATACACGATGAAGAGTTGACCGATGATAGTTCATCTCAAACCAATACCGTTATAGAAAAGAATTCTACAGAAACGCCAGATGTTGATGATAACATTAATTATATAAGGAAAAATGATAATTTATCTATGTCGATTGAGAATATTGCTGATATGGAATCGCCGATATCTGAGGATGTATGTCCGGATTCTAAAGGTTACACATTTAAGGAACGTGTCGAAAAGTTTGATGATATTCCAAACTTAAATTTAGTCGTGGTTAATGCCACATTGCCATCTGTTTGTTTCTGGTAATTATGGTATTTATAATTTCAGAGATATATTGAAATTAATTAATCAAATTTAGCTAAATAGAGAGGAATACTATTTACGTGACTAAAACTATAAAAAACTTAATTGCAGTGATATTGTACACAACGGATTAACGGCATATACAACTTTGAAAAGAACCGACCATTCTAGCGTTACTTCATGTTTGGAAATAGGAGATGTAGATTTCGATGGAGTGGATGAAATTTTAATCGGGAGCAGTGCAGAAGTAGGAATTTTTTTTTGATCTAACCTTAGTTTAACATTGGCGCTTTTCACAGGAAATTAAGCTGTACAAATTGGTGAACGGTACGACGGTATTAAAAGAAATTAAGAAGATTGTCAGTCCAATATTTAACATTCAATATTTCGATATTATCGGAGATGGCGTTAAAGAATTGATCGTATTAACAATGAAAGGATTGTATGTGCTACAGGTACTGATTAATTTACTTAGAAAATCATTTTACTTTTCATTACATATGTTACATTACAAAATTAATATTTAAATATAATATTATAGCACAACGAAATTGACGTTCAACGGAAGTTGGAGGAGAAAGTTTTCAAGTTAACAATGCCTGAAACAAACTTTACTTAAGGATTTTAAAATACAAAGAGAAGAGCTAGTGTACAGTTTATCGATTTTATTGGTGATCCAGGCACAGATAAAATTCATCGGTGGAACAATATAGCTTATTATCTAAGGCTACAGCAATCTTTTATTTTTTTTGTTGTTATTCTATATATATATACATAGTGGTACATGAAAAGAAAATATGTGACAAAGAAACAAATACTGTAATCAATGGAGATACAAACTACTTGCACCACTATTTTTATTTGTATTATATTCGTGTACTTTTAAAAATATATTTTCTTTTTAATTGTAATCTTCTTTAATACAGATACATGGACAAAATATACTTGACTTAACTCATTCAGACTACGCGCACCCAATTTAATTAATTTTTCATAATAAATTAGCTATTGTCTTCATCGTTTCTGGTTATTTTGTTGTCTTAAGTAAAATATTATAGAACTCTCAAATCATTCCACCCACCAAATCAATTAAATCTATAACTTGGTAATCATATATAAATATAATCTTATCAATTAAACTACATTCTAACCAGTCTTACAAGTCACACATTTGCACTTAAATCTTTTCAAATTCTTAAGCAAATTATTTCGATCTTTTCCCCAAACGAAACAAATATATAGATAAATAAAAAATTATTATAATAGTAGTTAATTAATTAATAAAATACACAATAAACAAAAAGAAAATATGAATCAAATGAGAAAAAAAAAACAAGTGTTTTGTCTGTTTGAGTCCGGAATCCATTTCGCATATTTAATATTCCATTTTCTTCTTATATGATATTAAACCATCAGTGCAGTTTATGTTATTTACATTAATTACATCTAACTTTACAAAGTTCTGACAAAATTAAAATATATTACAATTGAATTAAAATCAGAAATGCAAATTAGTGATTTACAATTAATATTAATAATTGATTAATTAAATTATAGTAAAAAAAATAATATATCAATATAATATAATGGAAGCGAATAATAAAATTGGTTTCCTAGCAACATAAATAAAGCTTTGGTGGTCTACACTAAGAAGGAAAAGAGGAAATCAAAATCACTCTACGCGCTCACACCCAGAGAACACATTTATATAACAATTCTTTAAAATTAATTAATATAAAAATTAGAGAGATTGAGGAAAAAAAACGAACAAACAATAAATGTGTAAGTCATCGTAAGTGTATCTTTTAGTCAACGTTGTCTTGGAATATAAGTCTGATATAACCCGGAACGCCGGCCAAGGGAGACGCACAGAACGGACAAACGGCGTGGAAGCCATTGGTGCCATGTGGTATAGCCACGTTAGCCCAATATCTGAAAATCATATAAATATTAATATTGGCAATAAAAAAGGTTTTATTTTGAAAAGAATGTATAAATTAAACATTTATGTCCATAGTTTTACGTATTTAAATATTTAAAATATGTTGCATAGTTATTATATATATATATACATACTTCACAGTTTTTTCGGTTGCCATGTGACCACATGGGTTAAAAGCAAAAGTAGGTGGTCCAGAATCTACATAAAATGATGGTTCCAGACCCATACACACTTTGACGACTGGTCCTAACTATAAAACATAAATGCAAATAGAATTGATTAATGTTTCGATGAATATGAAATGATCCAACCTCTAAGCAAATAGGACATTTCCTATCACCCGAATCCTTATCCTGTCCCCAATCGTGCAGTCCTTGAACGTGACCGCAGTTTAAATATACGTAGGGCTGCTGTTGGTTCTCGTTGGGCGTGACTTTTCTCGGTATAACTAAAGTGTTTAAGCCAACCGGACATTGCGGCCGTCCGGCATTTATTTCATCAATTTCCCTTTCTAAATCTCGTTTACTCTGAACATGGAATTAATGTAAGGTAATTAATGCACCGTTAGTTTTTATTTCGCGTTGTACTTACAGGTGATTTCTCTAATCCTTCGGCTGATCTCCACAGCAGTGTGGCTCCGCACAGATCAATCAAAGTACCATCTTGCAATACGTTAGTCTCTTCTTCTATCTGTAATCAAAAAGAATATTTTTTTAAATAAACCCGTCGATCATACAAATATGAGCTTCTTACCACTTGACCTTTCTGCTGGGCGGACCTAGATTCTCTAAGCGAAAAAACACCTCCACCGACTGACGCCTCCAACCAGAAACCACATTTTCCTTCCCCGCCGCAGAAAGTGCCCTTCGGATGCATGATCAGAACGCCGTTTGTCGTAAGACCATCGATTTCCCTGCCATTATCGTGCCATTTCGTCGCTTTTTCCTAAATCAATGAATGTATGTTACGTAATCGAACCAACCAAGTAAGCTTCTAATTCAATTGTCGGATGGAGTCGGAGCATTTGCAACCGCTTTTAATTGTACCATGCGGCTTCATCTAATTACTAAAGTACGCCGCTTGCACATGTTGTTTCATTACAGGTTTAGTGATTTTCCAATCTACGCATATTGAATTACTAAACTCACACGTTATATCAACCATTAAGTACATTTTCTTAGCTTGCAAATAGGGAAGAAGAGTAAATATTTTAAAACAAACTTACGCCAAGAAATATATTTCTGGATGTATCAAATCCAGCTGCATATATCCTGCATACTTTCGGGCAATTCCGATCCGAGAGAATTCTGCAAGCAAAACGAGATATGGTGCTTTGCATCACTTTATTCTCGCCGCATTTGTCGCCTGGTATAGTGTCCATGACCACGAAATCGATGGGGGATTCGGAGGATCTGCCGATCTGGGAGAACCAGTGTCATTATTGTATTAAAACTAATTAAGCGTAAGCTAAATTGGCTTTGCGGCTGTCTAGACTAGCTAGGGTTTATTTACCTGGAACATATCGGTGTCATCGTCTGCTGTGTACTCCACGATGACCGCATGATTTCTGGACAATGTGTATGAGATCGAATGCTGTCTAGCATCTAGTATCGCTTGGGACGAATGAGGAGTCTTAACCACATAATGCTTAGATCTCTTAACACCGTTCGGATCTTGCCTCTTGTGCAACATAAACTTGCTACGTCTTCTGCCACGATCACCTTGTGGCAAAAATCCATTGTACCTTCAAATTAAAAATATTACAATTAAGCATATGCATTCAAGTTTAATACTTCAATAAAATTTAGGTTGTTTTTTTTTATTCTTCTTTTTCTCTCTAATAGCAATTTTAGTTATAGCTGTAGCAAATAATTTATTCTTAAAAATTTCACATTTATTTATCAAATAATGTAAAGAATGTTGTTTACATTAAATTTCCTGAATAGACAAGCAAAACACAACTTATTTAAATCGCCTGTTGGAAAACCATTCGTTGTCCCTTTCGATATAGTCTAAAAAAATAATTTTTAATTTAGTTGAATCCATAATTAAATATTATAAAGCCTTAATTAGAAGCACCAACAACGACCATATTCAATTTTTATATTTCATTCTTTTGTGTTAATTTTATCAATGGTTCCCGGTTGTGCGTCATATCTAAATAGATAATGCATTATTACTTGTAAAGAACATCTGCTACACAAAATTTACATCACAATAATATTGTCGTCAAAACCAGACAGGATGCTTTTGAATAACCAGGAGCAGTTTATTATGGGATTCTATTTTCTTTTACCAACTATTGTCAATAAGGTTGCCGCAGCAAAGATGAGTAATGTGGACCGACCGACAGAACCAAAGATTCTTTAATAAGGAATCTTAAAGAAATACATGCGGAACTGCGGGGTTTAGTTTGAATCATTTTATGGTATTGCGGTCGTCACATCCTGTGCGTAGGTTTTGAAAAGTGTACATAGAAATTAGAAAATATTGAAGAATTAATATTAAGAGATAAGAAATATGTACTACGTTAAATAATATTAAATTTTTCAAAAATTCAGTAATATTTAGGAATGAAACTTAACTAAAAATATTTTGTTACTTAAGAGAAAAAGGAATGTAAAACTTCGTGGCATTTTCAAATAACTGTTACTCAATCTTAATTACTGTTCGGAACTAATGACCTCAGCATTTGCCTTTAATCCCAATTCTTATAGATTATATAAGTAAACACAATTCTGGGATTTTCTGCTCTTTTCATAATGTGAACAATGTGGCAATGTACGTAATTACAGTAAGAACAAAAGTGATCTGGAAAGGAAAAAAACGTCACATAGCTATGTTTAGTCATGTATATTTATTCTGGAATATTCTAATGAAAATATTTACAAACCATGTTTTCCTTCTTTTCCTTTCCTTTCTTTCCTTTCGGGAAATCCAACGAAAAAATAAAATGATTTCAAGAATAGATATGACAATATTTAGATTAACCATTTGTGGAAATGTACTCACCCTAAAATGACTAGTTCTCCATACTTGATTTGTTGTTTCGGCTTGTCTGAGTTCGTACCCTCCCTTTCCTCGAGAATTGGCGACTCTGTGCCATCGGTCCTGAAAATAATGAATTTCGTTAAATAATTGCGAACTATTTCGCCGTATCTAAGTCGGTCAACGAAGAATAGGAAAAATAAGATGTGTTTGAGAAACTGGATATTCAAACCACAAACAAAGCATTTATCTATGGAGAGTTCAACAATGAATCCTTCCTCGTTCATCTATGTTTGTATATATATTTAAGAACTAGGCCAGCGGCGAGACTACTCTATATATTCTCTGCCAGTACCTTTTTCACAAAAATATCTGTCGTCGTATAAGAAATGTCTACTATTAGATGTCTTCCAACATACAGTGAAGAGCTAATGTCATTCACTCCAATTTGGATTTGTAAGTTTAGACCATGGTTTCCGAACATTATTACTACATAAGGGCTCTAAACATAATGGTAATAGGCAAATAAAATATTTGTCCTCTTCGATTTCTTGAGAAGTGGCGCAAATTAGATATTTGTCTACATAGATTCCCTTAAAAAAATAATATAACATTTTCTTTTACTTAAACAATTTTATAGTATCTCCGAACAATGACAGTACCATGAATATCCCAGTTGCAAGATCAATATAGGATAGATACTGATATTTGTAATTACCTATAGCCTGTATCATTATTAGCATTAAAAGGCCATACAAAATATTTCCAAACATACAAATCATACTAACAGTAACTGTAAACCCGAGCTCATGTTCTAGCGCTCGTCCGGCATCGCATTACTATACATCAACAAGAAAAATAAAATGTATAGAACCTACACTCAAACTACATAATTCGATTAAAAGCACTTAAATAACGTCCAGGTTGACACCGTTATTATGCCGTCTTGCGTGAGTTTCATACGTGCAGAATATAACTGTCTAGTGTTTCCTTCAGGCTATTTGCAATTATCTAAACATTCTTATTCTTCTTCTGCCTTCCTATTTATTCGTAATTACCTATATTGTATACACGTGAGGTCACAACATTACCTACACGATACTACAATTTCCACATGGAAATTACTTTGAACTACATTTTATTTCCCCCATTCAGATAATGAATAATTAAACTTGATTTTATTTTCAAAGGCTCATCATTACATTGAATTAAGACGAATGCATAATTTCGTGAAAACAGCGACTTACATATCTAACGAATTCAGCATTATAGGAATTAACGCAATTGGAATACTGTAGGCAAATTACCAGATCCATCTTTAAGAGATGTGTTCTCATTCAAATCTATTGCATCAAGGTTCTCCAATTTAAAAAAAAACGAATAAGCACAGCAAAATCGTATTAGTACAGTTTGAAAGTTTGCAGAAATACTAATTGAATCATTGCAACTATTGACAAACACGCCACTGACAAATAACGCCATTTGGCATCGTATTGCAGTTATGTAATTGTCCTTGGATTGCAGAACGCTTGGTAGAGAGAATTATTCGCGGTGGGCGGCGACGGAAGTCCTGCAATTACCCTGTTATTCCAGATTCGATATCCATCAATTATTAATAGTTAAGAACAACGCCGGACATTATTGAATTTGTGTTGATATAATTGAATCGTAAACGAAGTTCCTAAAATCTATTCTTGCGTTAGGTCAAGGTAGATGTACTCAGTGCAACCGGCGTCTTCTGGCCGTCCTCGCACGTATGCGGACATCGATCGATACACAAGATTACTATTTCAAAAGGATCTCTCACTGCCGAGTATTGTTTTTTTTTTATAAAAACGCTCCATAAAGTATTCATATCCTTCAACAGGACAACGATCTCAATTATAAATATACGTTAGTGTCGTTTCCAATCACGGATTAATTTATAGCCTGATACGTTTCTAGTGCAATCAAAATCTCATATAAAGAACAATAATAGATAAATTAACATCATTCTTACTATGTTTTTTTTTAATTTAATGATAAGATTTGCTTGTTTTCCAATTATGGATATCTTAAAATATTAAATATATATCTTTCAAACAAATTATTCTAAATCCCTAACGTCCTTCTTCTATCAATTGTAGTGCACTGTACCTAAAATTGTACCTAGAACGACCTACGAAAAGCAATGTATCTCTAAACTAGAAGCAAATGTCGTTCCGTCATTTTCGCCCTTTGCAATAAAGCGTACTATTTAGGGATATACAGAGAATGTCCGGTGCCTTGCACACCGCTTAAATCACCTGAGACATCAACCACAGTGTCTGCACGGAATTATAAATAATTTTAGTCACACACATCCTATGTTTTTCAATAATTTTAAACAACCGATCTTTCATCGATTAAAACCTTTCTTGCTCGATAGTTACATCAAATGAAACCATTGGATACAGCAGTTGGTCAAGAAGTCATGTATAGGTATAAATTTCAGTTTACTGTAAAATTCCTTAACAAATATTATGCTCACGACCATAAACATTAAATCAAACTAAAAAATTATTAAAAATAAATATTAAGATGATTTCTCAAATACTTTCGATATACTATAATACATTGTAATTATATTAAACCATTAAATTTCTCTTATATTAAAATTAACGAAGTAGAAGAAAGAAATTTAATCGAATTGAAATTAATTCCAATATTTATTCGAATTAATAAATCAAGATTTAAAAAACTAGGTTAATAGCAGATGATTAATTAATGAATTATCATGGAAAGGTGGTTCATTTAGAAAGCATTTTTAATTGCATAATAATTGTAATCTGCATTCCATTAATGAAACGGCTAATTTCATAGTTATTGATTCGCTCGTTGAGAACGAATACAACTGATAAATTGCAAATGTAACATATGTCATCATTGCACAAATAATCCCTGGTCATCTATATTAGTGTACTTTTTTAGCTATTCCTAATAACTTGACCGGACTTAAATTGCTTCGATTTTGAATTATTTCGTTTTAATGTGATTCATTAAATGGTTTACGTTATTTGATATCATATAAAACATAAAGTTCAAATCGGACTATGTATGTATATAAAAATAAATATTCATACTCGTATCATTGGAAATGCCCTATACTAGGCATTAATTTACAGACTTCTTGCTTCAGTTCATTTTAATGAAACAGTGTAACGAAAAGGTCATTGACTTTTGAAATATGTCACAGTGAATGGCTTCAATTCATAAAAAGGCACTACTTATATTACGTTTTAGACAAATTTCATTAATGGTTTCAAGCGTTTAAAGAAAATCAAAAGAATTATCTAAAAGACAAACATACGAGAAGCATGTCTTTTTACTACCGATCGGTCAATTGGATTACATAATAATAATTAGACTATTCTTTAGGTTTTGTAATACGTCATTTCATGTTTATTGAGCGTACTTCAACATAATCAATTCCAATCGATCGTTTTCTTGGAAATCGAGGCAGTAAATTATACACATTTTTATTACATTTATTTTATTTTCCTTCTCTTGACGGTATTTTCTAAATTAAATATAAATATATATATAAATATTTAGCATAATTTTATCTCATCTAGATGAGATGAAAAACAAAGAGTTTCGAATGTAAGCTCGAAATAATTAAAAGTAAAACATTAGAAAATACTTCTTCCTCGTCAAGAAATATCTGCAAAATCTAGGTTGAAGTCAAAAAGGAGAAAAAGAAGAAGTTGTTTTGTGCAAACCGCTCAATCTGTAAAAAGAAGTCCTTGTTAATGATCTTGAATTGAAAGATTGCTTTCACTTAGTAACTGGTAATGTGAGTTTTCAACGTAAAGGAGATCGTGTTAATGTATGTCTTCTCCCTGTGTATTCATTGTTGGATGGTGAAAAGGGCTTCTATATACAGCCATTGCACACATCACAACATGAAACAGTACATGTTAACCGATGGTGTCGGCTGTTAAAAATGTTACTAGACAATTTTTGCTTTCCAACAAAGCCACCGCAAACGGTGGCGAAATCCAAAAATGCGTTTATGTTGAAGTACGACTATATCGAACTTAAGAATGTTTAAAGTTTCTTTGATAAAACACATGTGATATATACTTGGAATAAGGGAAATGTGGTGCGTAGGAAATTCGATCGATTAAGCAAGAGAAGTGTGTGCACAAGTCACTCATTTATAACTATGTTTGGCCCATTTGCAGTCTATTAAAATATGGTGGGTCGATAACCTAGTATCTTCATCTGACACGACCGACTTATTATAAATAATTTACTTAAGAAATCGTGCACAATGGAATCGCATTATTTACCATCCATGCGCAACGTATATTGTTTTTTATATCTAAAACTCTTTAAATCAAAATATGCGAACATCTTCTAGGAATCTTATAATGCGGACGAATCCCTTGCACTTGTGTTGCATACTCAAAAAGTACAACTACACAATGCATTATTTTCGTCATCAAATTATGAATTACGTCCAACAAAAGAAATATAGGATATTAAAAATGTAAATAAAACAAAGTAAACACTTTCAGACGAGGATTAACGAAGGTTATGTGGCTATACGTGATTCAATTTGTAAATAAAAATCTATAAATAATAAACGCATTCCACTTATTGTCCTGCGTTTATACTCATCACAAGTTGAGAATGTGCATCAAAATATGTTAACTGAAACGAAGGTTGTAAGTTCATTAAACCAGCTCATTGATTATGACTTTTTTTTATTATTATTTAATAAATACATACGATTAACTATATTTACCAACTTACTAGTAATATTACATTTTTAAATTTCAGTTCCTCTCTTGTAATTTAATAATATTTAGGCCTCAAAGCCCAGACACTGCTCTACCCATTAATGACAAATCTTTATGTATTAAACTATTTTATTATAGTTTACAAGAAAAAATATGCATATTAGTTGTTTGATACATCAATAAATTGTTCGAGCAACTATAAATACTCAAAGTTCAAGTTCACCAAGCAATTGATGACCAGACAGTCATCTTTGTTGATGGCTGTAAACAATACGCGCTAACTTTTCAAACATCGCATATCATGCAAATTAGAGGTGCTCAAAGTTATGGAGAATGCGACACAATTTTTATACTGTTTGTAAAAACACAAATGTAGGAAGTATATTTTCGTATATCTCACCTTGCTATTTCTACGACCAAAATATTTACTCAATAATGATTAAAATACGTATCAGAGTAAGATAACATCATCTTACTGTCATTGAAAATTTAACATTTATAAACGCAAACTTAGTTAAATGACATTTTATTATAAATCATACAAACAAACATACTTTTTCAAATTGGTCTCTTTTTAGAATAAGAAAAGAAGAATGTCCTCTTTCGGTGACTAAAACGGTAACCTTTCTAAGAATTTTAACATTGAACGCCAACCATAGTTACTGCCTAAATTCATGTAAACTGAAAAACCTACTTTTCAACAAAACAACGTCTTAGCTACGAATTAAAATAGTTTTTATAACTTCTTTCCCGTAACGATGTCTATAGCTGATTGTTAAATAGACTAAACAAAGTAGCAGAAATTTATAATTTTCCAAAACCGCATAATCAACATAAATTTCGAGTATTTTATAAAAATACCAATTACAATTTTATATGTCCTACTGCTATAAATGTTTAAATCTTATTATCGCTCAATTTCTATAATAATTAAAAATAATTGTAAATATCAAGAGAGCTGATTTCTGTTTAATCCTGCGATGTATACACGCGATGTATTCTGATTCTGCTTATGACTGACTGAATGGCACAGACAGATCAATAAATCAGATGGTTCGCTTTGTTCAAAACACAGGACAATAGTTAATAAACAAATAGAAATAATATTTACTATATAAACAATATATTTGTTTCCTTTACAAATAGAAAACAAATCTCTGTACAGAAGTAATTTAACAATATTAACAGATTTTATTATCAAGTGAATTAAATTCAATCATTCATCAATCGCCAAATAAGAGTGAAACCTTCTAACAAATACAAATAGCTGAATTTAGAGAATTCTCTGTTATAATAATTCTATCAAAATTGAGCACAAGCTCTTTATCTGTTATTATAATATGAAAAAATCTGTAATGCTGTCAGAAAAAAAAATATAGAAAATTTTGGATTTATAAAACTATAAAACATAAACAATGACTGTATTTGGAATGCTGAGTCACTGAAGCTATTAAAATAATAGCCATTCGCCCCTGGATTAATTTATATCATAGGGGTCGAAATACATGTTGACTTCACAGCAAATGGGAATCAGCGTGTGTTTATGCTATGAAATCGACTGTAATGAATTGTCTTTTATTAATTATTAGAACGCATTTCAACAATAATCGATGGTAAAACCATGATTATTGTCATTTAGTTATGTGATTTGTCGATGGATGTGTTGTCTCCAGTTATTGATGGAGATGTGTCTTACCTTTTTACCATTTCTGAAGCCGTTTTTAACAGATTTTCGGAAAATGCTGGCGAGGAAAAATTTGAAGCACACGTTTTCCTTCTTCCTTATTTCTCCTTGCTAAATGGAGTTTGCACACAATCACTTTATAAATTTGGTTTCTACACAGGCTTGTTTACAAGATAGCTTCATGTTATTTATCACATACACTGCAGAGAACACTTTCGGTGCTATCGGAGCACTGTTGAGGGGCTTGGCATGTGATTACTAAAAATATAGCTTTTTCAAAGATTGGCCCAAAACGTGCACGAACAGCAGTAAACAAGCACGTTCAGTTCCAGGCAAATCTTGATACCTCCACTAAACTGGGAGCAAGGAGCAGCAAGGAGAGCTGAATAACAATGGCGCCTACCATCGTCTATCTAACCATACACACCAAGCGCATGAGTGGGGTTTTTAACCGTTCACTACACAAAAGCTGCGATCAAATGGTCAAAATTTTACTCTATAAAATACAATTTGAATTTTAACCACCTACACAAATTTCATTTTTCTAATTGAAGTTGGAATTCAAATCAATTGATTAATAGAATCAAGATAAAAACTTCTAGGCATCTTAAAGAGGAAATGAAATTGTCTACCATGGGCGTAGTATAAAATATTTTCAAAGGCTTATTTTTTTGAAAAATATGCTAATAAAGTAAAATAAAGTGGAACCTCGCATAACGAGCATTTCTCTTAACGAGCAAAATGAATTGTAAGAAAAATGAAGTACCGGATTACGCGCCTTCTACATCATTTTTAAAACGTGTGTTCACTATTTGAGTAAAAATCCGGAAATTAAACTCATTAAGCGAGGTTCGACTGTATTAATAAACTTAATATAATCCTTGATTAAATTCACTGTTGTTAGAATTTTGAAATATCTTGAAATATATCACCCATTATACAAGGTACAACAGAGAGCATATTAACTATCACCAAGGCCGTAAATGAGAGAAGTAATAAGTAAGCAAATCTTAAGACTAAGAAAATATAATATTGAAATACATACTCTTTATCTTTGTCAATCTGACACTAGTATGTACGAAAGATGACGAAAATTGAACGGCTTTTGTATAATTTTATTATGAGTTACAGCTATTTAGTTATATCTTTAATATCTTGAAATATTTCAAAATATTTAACTATTAAAATTCAAACAATATATATTTAGTTGTTTGCAAAATAAGTTAAAATTTTGGTAATATTAATTCTTATCACAACTATATTTGTAGAAAAGTTTTGCTTATTGTCGAAAAAAGTCTTTAGACGTGGATCTTGTCATGTACATTACTTGATGCAATTTGTACCTTTTAGTAAATCATATAATGTGTAGTAATATGATTTAAATATACATATATTTGTATCATGGTTTAACATGTTTTTACCTAAAAAAATATATATAACTAACTTAACTAATACACCATGGGTACGCCACTGTATGTATTGCTATTATATAAACTAACTACATTTGCCGGTTTTAAACTGGTTCATAGATACTTAGTCTATGGTTTTTATCTGACAATTATTTTATTTTTAATAGATATATTTGGTCACTATAATAATATAAATGAAGATATTAACACTTGGATATTTTTACATTGTTCCTAGTGTCATAGCTGCTTTTCCTTTTTGGCGTTAAAGGTGGTTCATCTTGGTCTTCCTCCTCGTCATCGTTATCTAAACGTAATACATTATGAATTTATATGAAACAAAACAAATAATAAATTATTCGATGGCAGCTCACCTGATACCGATACATCCGCAGAATGTTCTTGGTTCACCAACTCCGTTAATGCGCTGTTGGTCTCCGTTTGTATTTTCTTTAAGATATCCCTGTATCCAACTAAACCATTTTGAAAAGATATTTCTTCATTAAAATCTCGAAATACCGTCGAGTTCTTCGAAATTTCAATTTTGAGGTTAATCGAACCTTCCATTTTCTATCTGTTGATTTCTTTCAAATTATAACGCGCCTATAATAATCATTGCCAATTTACTTGTTACTTAGGAAACGATATAAAAAAAATATATTATAAATTTTTTAAATATTAAATAGTTTCAATATTTAAGAAATAATTAGGGAAGAGTTGAATGGAACAAACCAGGTTTCAAAGACAATTTTAATATATCCAAAATATAATTAACATTAACTTACATATTAATTTATTAGAGAAAGCATATTTCGATGAAACACGAATACTTGTTTGCAAAATACAAATCAAATACCAATGTCCTGCTCAAGATGCTTAAAGTTATTAAAGGTATTTATAAAAAAAAATACAACATTAAATTTTATTGTATTGTACTTGAAATATTTACATAACAATATTGAAAGTCTGTAAATATGAGAATTCTTGGAGAAAACAATGATGACAATTTAAAACTGAACAAAAAAAAACTAGAGTAGTAATATTATATATATTATAATTTTAAATGATAGTAAATGTAGAAATCAAATTTAAAATCGCAAACTCATTACCGAATACACAAGAAGTTCATGAAAGTCAAATATTGCATTTCTAAGTGCTTTTTCGCATGTCGATATACTTCTGGTAAAATGGTAGTAGCAAATTTAGAATATTTATAAAATTATTTATTATGAATTATCGAAGGATATTGAATTATATATATAACAGAATTAGAATTTCGTTTCTTAGAAATTCTGTCGAACGTAAAGATGAAAAAATTGTTTATCCAATTCAATATACAATTTGTACGAAAGGATTAATCAACATAATACGGCGTTTCTTTTTTTACAAAATAAAGAAATTGTATGTAATATAATAAAACATAGTTAACTTTAATAACTATAACCGCTACCATAACCTCCCCACTGGCTGTAACCACTGTAATTGCCTTGATATTGCCAATTGCCGTACTGATATTGATCGCCCTGATTGTACTGAGGATATTGTCCATATGTTCCTTGCTGCGAATTGCCATACTGATATGAGTTGGTTGAATTCGAATAATTTCCGTAGTTGTTGTATGACGCTGAAGATGTTGTAGATGCTGCATTCTTGTCTTTCTTCGAAACATCCCTGAAAAAAAAAATAAAGATAATATTACCACCACTAACATAACTTATCGATATATCAACATACTTGTTTTCTCCTTTCTTCTTATTTTCTTTACTTCTAGTGGCCAGCTTCTGATACTCTTCGTAAGCCTTCTGCACACACTCTATATTCGACCCGAAATCTTCCAAAAATTCAAACTTCCTTTGAGCAAACATTACTTTTTGATCAACGTCCGTCGAGTCCTTTGTCAGGAAGGAATCGATTATTTTTAGAATTTCTTCCTCGCATAGTCCTTCCTTATGTATAGTTACATCAATTAATTGCAAATACAGACGAGGATTGTTGGCGTCTTTAGTGATAGCATTCTTAATCACCTCAATGGATTTTTCTATGTCACATAAAATCTTCAGTATAAATCTAGAATATTTGATTGCTAGGTTTGTCGAAATCACTTTGTTTTTAGAATTATTTATGTAATGCTCATACAATTGACAACATTTATCATTATCACCCCTTCTTCTCTCCAAATTGATACGACGGTAAGCAACCTGTAACAAAAACATAAAATATAGTAATAATATTGAACCTTAGTATTATTAAATCAATTTCCTTAACATAATCAGTTGGCCCTTGCGAATCGTCTACATTAGCAAAAACTTAGAGAACCAAAGCAAGACAACGCAAGTTTTGGTCGAATAGCAAAATCATCATAAAATAGGAATTGATAAATAAAATGTGATTTAATAATGAATTACTTACTTGCAATAAATTCGGCACTGTTTTATCCAAGTTCTGTAGGATTTCCGCAGCCTTGTTGAAATTTTTAATTGACTCTTCAAACATGGCCCACTGCATATGAATGTTAGGTTTCTTTAAATGATGAATCGTGCAAGCTCTTTCAAAAATATCTTTAATTTTGCCAAGAAACTCATCTTTTTTTAGGCTTTGCAAATAGTGCACAAACTAAAAATTTTAAAAAGTTTTATATTATTTTTTAATTCTATTTAATTTACGTACCCTCAACCAAAATTCCTCGTATAACGCACAAGCAATAAGGCACCTCTCGAAAAGTACTATGATCCGAGCTTCATCCCCTTGTGCTATTTCATAATCCAAATACTCTTGCCAATTTTTCAATTGGCACCTCTCCAAAGGTTTTACATGGAAATAGGGCCTTTTTATCTGCAATAAACATTCAGTATAAGATTATCTAGATCGTGAACAATGTAAACATTTAAATGTCAATTAGGCTTAAGTTCAGATGGCCTCTGCAATTTCTTCAGGAACAATAAAATTGCTTCAAGGATCAATACAGGTCGACGCCTTGTCTTGATCATCAACAGAATCATCATTACAAATAATTAGTTATTAGAAAAAATGTATATTAAGCTTTTCCTTACTCCTTCTTCAAAGTTCCATCTGTTAGTAACGGCAGTTGATGTGTTTTTGTGGATTTTTCTCCTGATTGAAACTATTCTCTCCCTTATTGCTTTTGTTTCTTCATCCGTATTCTAAAATATAAGCATATATTTTTTTTGTTAATAATTAGAATAAATATATATTTACCTCCTCGGTATCTTCGCCAGGAGGAATATCAGGATTATCAGCAATGTCGGCGGCATCTTGTTTTAATAAATTCTTAACTTCCTTCCGTAGTGCAAGAAACTCATCCACCTCTAAAATCTTATTGGCTGGATTCGATGCAACGTGTTCTTGAAAGCTAGTGCAAAAAAAAAATTGAAAATTTTGCAATTGCTATTAAAAATTTAAAAAAAATTCTACTGTACTTGTCGAAATGCTGTAGATAACCTTGCGTTGGTGTCGCCAGAAGCCTTTCATAAACGAGTGTTGCGAACTGTAAACGTTTCCCTTCAATTTCCCACTTGATATAGTTTTCCCAAAGACGATCGGAACGAAATTCTAAACCGCATGCCTTCAAAGACCTCTCAAACTGTGCCCTGACGAAGTCTTCGTCGTCAATTTTAGCAGTTCGCACATATGTTAAATAATGAATCCAAAGATCCACTGACAAAGGGATGGCTTTCAGGCCCCGCTCAAATACCTTGGCAAAAAATTAAATGCATGTTTGAATAAAGAGATCAACAATTATAATTGATGCGCGCTTCGGGTGGTTGTTTTGTCCACCAGAAGAGCGCATCAATGTTTTAATCTGGAAGGAAAGTCTGATTAAGTAAATCGCCTATTATTAAACCGATTATATATTATGTATATATATGTATTCGTACAACATTATAGAATGTTCCTTACATTGCTCTAGTAAACTGGAGGTTTCCATCGTTGGCGCCAAAATCTCCAATACCAAAGAGCCCTTGCCTTATATTGACATCTGGCTATATATTCTCAAAATACGTATATATATGTACAAGAAGAGTTATAAATACACATCACAGTGATAAAATAAATATATATGATTTAAGTATAAAACATCCTAACATAGTACAGTCTTAAGTAATATTAACAATATAGTAATTTAATATATTTATGTTTCTTATTATTATTGTATAATAGTAGTTAGTAGTGCAGTCGCCGTAGAGCTGTGGGGATTGCAAAATAATTACTAAATATTTTATTTATATGTATCGTACATACACGATTCCCTAACTCAAATAAATCACTGTACATACCTCCTCGCATTTTTTCTTGTTGCCTTTGCGCTTTTCATAATCCGCGTACTTCCTCCAATATCCATAACAGTATGGGTAATGTGAAAGGAACGCATCATAAGCTTCTCTCGCTGCTTCCATATCATTCTAAACAAATGTGAACAGACAGTGATTAAAAACTTATCTTTAAATATTCCATTGTAAAATACCTCTTGGTCAACATATTGAAGTAAGTATGTCCAGCCAGTGAAGTCAGCAGGATCGTCATTAACAGCCTTCCAATACTTATCCAGCTCAGGTAATTTTTTAGCTTTATCTTTGTCATCTGTCTCTTCCGAACTTTCAAGTGCTGGCTTTTTGGGCGCAGACTCGCACTCAGAAGTTGGAGAACCCGGATCATAATTGTCCTCTTGTATTTTTCTTTTATTGTTCTCTTTCTTCACAGACTCCAATTCTTCTTCAGAAACAACCTAAAGGTAATAAATAAAACAATTTAGATTATATAGTTTGGTTAACATAATTGTACTCACTTCAGTATCTGCTGGAAGTTCAGCTCTTTTTGGACCAGGCAACTCTTCATCAGAAACTTCCTCTGTTTCTGGAACTTTCACAGCTTGTACAGTAGGTAGTTCATCTTCAGAAATATTTTCTGCATCTGGGTCAACTACAATTTGCTTTATGTCTTCCCTTTTTTCTAAACTTTGATCATTTACATCTGTCATTGTTGATTCTTGCATGTCTGCCTCCAACATATTAACCATATTTGATTCTTCTGAATCAGTGTCCATTTTCTCTATACTTTGCATTTTTTCACTGTCATTTGTGTCTGAAGCCATAAGATCTTCTATTTCTTCTTGCCCATTTTCATTCTAGAATAATTGAATAAGTTATACATTAATATGTAACAATAATGTAATTTATGTGTCAAGTAAATATACCTGTACAATGTTTAATCCACTATTTGAGTCATTTTCAGAATTCAGATAACTCTCAGTTGCCTGGAATGAATTGAAATCATTTGTGGCACTATTTGAATCTTCAAATGTTTGATTAACATTATCTTGAATGTCTTCTGCCTCAACTGCATTATCAGATGAATCTGCAATAGGCTTTGGTGAAATAGTCATCATTTTACTATCATCATCTGACAATTCAAGTTCGACTTTTTTCCTAGATTTTCTTGGTGTCTTCTTTGTTTCAACAGCAGGGGTTTTTCTGCCTGATCTTGTCTTTCTTGGTTCCATTTCAACTAAAAAAATAAAAAATATATTCATTATATTAAATAAGCAGCCATGATTCTTGATCACATTGATAAATAAACAAATTATATAACAAACATCCTTTTTTCAAAATAATATATTAACACAATTTAACTACCTAAATTTGAAGATATATTATGAACAGCTTTGAATGTTTAAATATTAATCATTACTTGTGCACAGCACATAATCTATTTAATAAGGATAAAAAAACATGTTCTATTGTAATCTACAAAATAAACACGAAATGATCAGCAGACTTGTTTGTACTAATTACCTCTATCATCAATTTCATCCATGGTGTCCATTAGCGTTATAACAAATAAATATTAATCAATATTTATAAAGAATTACGTTTATTACAATCAATTACACACGGTTATACCACGGCCATATTTGTTTTCCTCAGTTTTCCTTCCAATACTATTCGTAGGTATACCAACATTAAAATAAATATTAGTGATAACCAAATGATACCAACCAACTATTAGATAACAAATTAAATTTATGAATCATATGTATATTAATTAGATTATAATATAGTATTACTAGTTGCATGTATCACAAAATACCGATACAAAAGTTCGCCCTTGGATAGACCAACGTTTCGACTTGGGGCGCCCCGGAAAAATTCTGATATATTAAAAGCGCTATAAACCGAAAAAGTTTGGGTCGACCCCTCTAGTTTAGGTTCCCACGTATATAAAATTTATATTGGTACTCCTGCCATTGGTAAATTTGGCGCCAAATTGTTAAAATTCCTACTGGTATTATTCAAAGAAAGTGGTTATAAATCTGTCTTTTGTTGTTGTGGTTTAAATCAGTTTTAAATTCCAATAGAACAGGATGGAAGGCTTTGATGATGCCGGTGTTTTCTTTAGTGATAATTTTGGCGGAGAGGACAATCAGAATGATAATCAAGTTAATCTTCAAGGCGTTAAGAAAAAATTTAAGGAATTTCTTAGGCAGTTTCATGTGGATAACTTTAATTACAAATACAGGCAAGGATAGTCTTAATTAACTAATATATAGAATTAATGGTAGATTTTTACAGAGATACATTGAAACGAAATTACACATTAGGAAACTATTACTTAGAGGTAAATATAGAAGATGTTGCTAGTTTTGATGAAGCGTTGGCAGAAAAAATCAACAAACTGCCTTCTGAACATTTGCCAATTTTTGAAGAGGCCACCAAGGAGGTGGCTGATGAGCTCACTGCACCAAGACCAGAAGGAGATGAGGAGATTCAAGATGTTCAAATCATGCTTACTTCTGATGGAAACCCAGCAAATTTGAGAGCTATGAATGTATAATTGTAAATCCTTTATTTAGTTCCTTAGTAATTTCTGTTGTTGCAGTCAGATGTAGTATCCAAGTTGGTTAAAATACCAGGGATCATAGTTAGTGCATCTGGCATTAAAGCTAAAGCTACAAAAATTGCAATTCAATGCAGATCCTGTAGTAATGTAATTTCCAATTTAGCTGTGAAACCTGGCTTAGAAGGATATGTTATGCCCAGGAAATGCAATACGTATGATATTTGAACTATTCTTATTTAATGTTATAAAAAAAATCATTTTAGAGAGCAAGCTGGTAGACCAAAATGCCCATTGGATCCATACTTTATTATACCAGATAAATGCAATTGTGTTGATTTCCAAGTTCTGAAATTACAAGAACTTCCAGATGGAATTCCTCAAGGTGAGATGCCAAGACATCTTACACTTTACTGTGACAGATATCTATGTGAAAGAGTGGTACCAGGGAATAGAGTATTCATCCTTGGTATTTATTCAATCAAGAAAGTGGGACGGCCTTCAAGAGTAAATATGAAACTGATAAATATTGTTTATCTCATTCACAAATAATAATAATAATGTTATTAGAGAGATCATCGAGAAAAAGCAATTACCGGCGTACGAGCTCCTTACATGAGAGTTGTCGGAATACAAATTGACACTGAGGGCGTAGGCGGCAAGGGGACCTCAGTGGTATCTGCAGAAGAAGAAGATCTTTTTAGGAGGATGGCTGCTTCGTCGAATATATACGAGAGGCTGGCGATGAGCATTGCTCCTTCCATTTTCGGAGCAGTTGATATTAAGAAAGCAATTGCTTGTTTGTTAATGGGAGGATCTCGCAAGAAGTTACCAGACGGTTTGACGAGGAGAGGAGACATTAACATATTACTTCTTGGCGATCCTGGTACAGCCAAGTCTCAGCTTTTGAAATTTGTCGAACGTGTGGCCCCTATAGCTGTTTATACCTCGGGAAAAGGAAGTTCCGCAGCAGGTTTAACTGCCTCTGTAATGAGAGATCCTTCTTCCGTAAGACTTTATTTGTATTTATTTAAATATACAACTACTTATCACCAACTTTTAGAGGAACTTTGTAATGGAAGGCGGAGCTATGGTACTTGCAGATGGTGGTGTCGTTTGCATAGACGAGTTCGATAAAATGCGAGAGGACGATCGAGTAGCTATTCACGAAGCCATGGAACAACAAACAATTTCCATAGCGAAAGCTGGGATCACTACCACTTTGAATTCTCGTTGTTCAGTGTTAGCTGCTGCAAATAGTATCTTTGGTAGATGGGATGAAACGAAAGTGAGTATATTTATGGTATAATGTATTTAAAGTTACATACATTTTCATTTTAAGGGTGAGGAGAATATCGACTTTCTACCGACGATTTTATCCCGTTTTGATATGATCTTCATTGTTAAAGACGAACACGACCAAAATCGAGATAAGGTAAACTATTTTGCATACATAATATTGCATATACTAATTGGAAGTGGTCGTGATTTAGACTTTAGCGAGGCATATTATGAGCGTACATATGAACGCTGGTCAAACCAATAGTGAACCTAAGGAAGGAGAGCTGTCTTTGGAATTAATTAAGAAGTATATAAATTATTGCCGCACGTACGTATATGAATTAAAAAGAAATACGAAAAATAAAATGATTATTGTTCTTAGGAGATGTGGACCTCGCTTAAATAATGAAGCTGGTGACAAATTGAAAAGACGATATGTTTTAATGCGGTCAGGTACATTACAACACGAAAAGTCGGTGGATAAAAAGAGTGCCATTCCCATCACAGTTCGTCAATTGGAAGCGATAATTCGTATGTCCGAGAGCTTAGCTAAAATGCAGTTACTCCCATTTGCAACGGAGGTTCATATCAATGAAGCCCTGCGTCTTTTCCAAGTGTCTACTCTTGATGCAGCCATGAGTGGAACGTTGTCTGGTAATTGAAATGATTTTTATTAAAAACTAATATTCTATAAATAATTTTAAATAGGAGCCGAGGGTTTTACCACCGACGAAGAACACGACATGTTGTCTAGGATCGAGAAGCAGTTGAAGAGAAGATTCGCCATAGGTACCCAAGTATCGCAGATGAATATAATCCAAGACTTCACGCAACAGCAGTACCCGGAACGTGCAGTCCAGAAAGTTATCCATACTATGATCAGAAGAGGACAATTGCAACATAGAATGCAGAGAAGGATGCTGTATCGATTGAGTTAATTCGATTATAATAACTGTAACTTTATTTTTTGTATCTTTTTTAAATACATCGTTTGCTTAATATTTGAATGGATATTGTGGATGTTTATCAACATCCTTGAAGAACAAGAAATTGAAAATCCTCCCCTTTTCTCCTTTATCTAATTTGTCTATCTTCGCAATGTCCTCGTCTTCCAGCATAAAACCAAATACATCGATATTGTCTTTGATTCTCTGAGGATTGCTGCTCTTTGGAATAACAATGATGCCTTTCTGTGCTAAATGTTTTAATAGAATCTGGCCTACGCTCTTCTTGTATTTATCTGATAATGTCAAGATTAAAGGATCGTGCAATAAATCCGGAAAATCTTCAATTCTATAAAATAAAATATATTATTTTAAATGAAAATTCAATTATTTTCAATTTACTTATAGTCGTATTTTGTTAAGAAATGTCGTTGAGCCCCAGGACTACCAAGTGGGGAATATGCTGTAATAGCAATATTTAATTTATTACAGACTTCTACGATATTTGGCTGTTGCAAATATGCATGCATTTCTATTTGCAAGACCGCTGGTTTAATAGCAGCCAGGTCGTATATTTCTTTGACTTGATTCTCGTTAAAGTTCGACAAACCAATTGCTTTAACCAATCCTTTTCTGACTTGCTCTTCCATCACCTATTGTGATAGATGGTTAAACTATAAAGCAACTTCAAACTGTATTGAATGCTAACCTTCCAAGTAGCAAGATTATCATTTTCAAAATCGATTATAACGGATCCGTCTTCATTTTTTGCTGGTTGTAATATTTCTTTGTCACAGAAAAGTGCAAATGGTAAATGGATTAGGTATAAATCAACGTACGTGAGTTTCAAACGGTTCAAAGATATTCTTAAAAAATTTTCTACATCTGCGGCTCGATTTCCAAAAACTGGAAGCTTCGAAATGAATTGTTTATGATAAAAAATTATTATATAACATACATATATATATATATATTACAATACCTTGGTCGTTACAAAAAGTTCTTCGCGTTTAATTTTCCCTCCCTCGATCCATCTCTTCAATGCATTTCCAATAGCTTCCTCGTTATTATATACGAAAGCGGTGTCTATAAAATTATTATAACAAACATATATACTAAGAACAAATTTTACCTATATGCCTGTAACCACTTTCCAATGCAATATCAATAATATTTTCGATTTCTTCAGGAGTAGCTTGCCAAGTACCTAAACCCACGATGGGCATTTGTTCGTTGCTTCCACTAAGATTAACGCACTGCATTTTAGTACTCGATATGTAATGCAATAAGCTTATAACGGACACAACACAAGGTTCCACTAAATATAGTTACTTTGGGCGATTATTTTTAGAATTGCTTTTTTGAAATTTATTGGCTGCGCTTTTGACTTATGGCCACTGTGTTTTTGTAATTTATTAATTGCCAGGCTTTTTTTTATGAAGATTTGGCTAATCTTGGAATATAATTAGTTGGATATAACGCAAATTAAATGTTTGTGTAAAAAACAAAATATAAATATCTTTTTAAGCAACGAGTTCTAAAACATCATTTACATAAGTTAGCGAACATTCTTATGTATACATGCTAAGACTATAAGTGCTTAGTTCAATAGATAATCCATGATACATGGATAAGTCCTACATTATGTCATTTGATCAAGATACGTTTTTTCAAAGTTTTTCTTAACTTTCAAAATAAAAGGAATAGCATAATGCATAAAGAAAAGAATGTCCCAGACCTGAATTTTATTAACAACTAGCATATACAATTTGATTTTATTACAAAAAAAATATAATAATAATAATAAACATTGCAAACTGCCTGTCGTCAGTTATTAATTTGTCTTTAAAATAAAACTGAATCTTAAGAGCAGGTAGTTTACACAGTTTTTAATTATATATATATATATAATAGCAGTTTATAATATACATTTTCTCGGGTACGCCGAACGGCAGGAGCCAAAAAATGATCAGGCCGTAGAACTCTGTAACACAAACTCAATATTTGGGGCCGGCCGCTCGGTGAATTCATGGAACATAAATGATAGGAATTAAATTTAAATTATTGTATATTCACTTTCCATCAGTTTCATAATTTGTTTGTTTTTTTATTGTTATTATTATAGTTTGGATTAATTTCATTATTTATGTATTTCAATATAACCTATCCTACTTACTAATTACATCGCAACTACAATAACTTGATTCAACAGAAACAAATCTTTACAAAAAGAGTACAGAAGAATTTTCGTCTTTATGCAAAGGAATTTGAACGAAATGCAATCACACTCATACATACAATCATTCGTTGACTGGTGATACAAACCAATAAAGATCAAAAACAAAACTTAAATGTTACTGGTTTTATCACAATGTATAGTTTGTTCAAAAAAATATACATATCCATAGACAAATGTATCATCTATATGTATATACTTGCTGAAATTCAATATTTACAAATTTAAATTTGTTCAATGAATATTTAACAAAATAACAGAAGATTTGAAAGAACAGATTATAAAGTTATTAGAGACTTTTATTTATTTAAAATAGTAATATATATATACACAGGTTATAGTATTGCAAATTTGGAATATTCAAATAAATTTTATGAAAATATATATAAAAATATACAATATGCGCTGAATTTTTAGTAAATTGTGTTTGTTTGTGTGAGTGTGTATAAACGTTTGTTGTTTTTTACAAATTAAATTATAAATTTAATAAATAGATCCTATATAAATAAGTAAAATTACTTGATATTTTCGGCCACATATCAAAATTTCAATTGCCTCAACAAAAATGTCACGGTTTGTCCATAAACAATTGTTTTCTTCAAACATTAATATCAAGGAAAATCATTTACATATATAATATATTTTATTAAATTCCCATTCAATTTAATTACATCTCTAATAAATAAAAATGTGTTTTTTTCCCACCACATTCCTTTTTTTAAAAATAACCATCATAAAGAACAAACTATACTTAATAGTAAATTTGGTTGGATTTTAAATTACATGTATCATACAAATTGGAAAAGTGTCATGCTATTTAAAACAAAAGAATTCAGTGTTTTTGATCATTCGATCATCATTTCGTTGGTCTTGAACATCAAACAAAAATAAGGATTAATAATAGTTTGAAACTCAAGACACATTTTGCAAAACTATTTACATGTAATTTTTAAGCCCACCATAAATGTCCTGATATATATATATATATATTTATAAGTATATATATATGTAATAAAATCACACTTGACTACACTGTATAAACTTATTCTCTTTTATATATATTTAGAAATATTTATAAAAAAAAAAGTAAAATATCTTGTAAAATCATAGTTTGCAGCAAGTGTGTTTTTATTAATATTATATTTTACAATAATTAATTCACTGTGTTGGATATTTTTGCATAGGTGTGTACATCACTTGTGTGCTTGGAGGTTGTGCACCTTGTCCAGACCACTGGCCTTGTTGTGGCATTACACAGTACTGCTGTCCTGGTGCTGCTGTGTATGGATATTGGTAGTAACCTTGCATGTAACCACCCTGTGTAGTGTACCCCTGTGGATACCAGTATTGTCCATAGCCATACGAATAAGATTGGCCCTGGGCATTGTTCACAGCTGGTGTTGCAGCAGCTTCTCCTCCCGGACCACCATTTTCTTTGCCCCAGAAGCATTTCACCACCTGACCATTGATCTCTGTGTTGTGGATGTTCTCAATTGCATGTGTGGCAGACTCCTTTGTGGCAAACCTTATAAAAGCATAACCTTTATCTTTGAAGACCCTAATATCTAAAATGACACCAAACTGAGAGAACGTGCTCTGCATCAGCTCCTCATTTATGCCATTTGTGAAGCCACCACAATAGACTGTGCTGTTTGTAGGTGAAGTTTGATTGTATACTTCCTCAAATGTGGGTTGTTTGGCTCTCTGAGCAGGTTTATCTGTACGAGGTGGAGGTGGTTTGCGAGTTGACCAGTTAGTACGAATGGAACGAGATCCAAGCCACTGGCCATTCATTGCCTGTATCGCATTCTCTGCTTCTGCTTTCTTCACAAAGGAAACAAATGCGTACCCCTTAGACTTCAGCGTCTGAGGGTCTCTAACTATCCTGCAGTTAGAAATCTCTCCAAATGGAGCAAAGGCCTCTCTCAATGTGTCAGTCTCAATTTCTGGGGATAAGTCCCCAACAAATATGTGGTGGTGATTCGAAGTATCAGTTTTGGGCTGATTGCCTGGACTTGTGGCCCAATTAACTTTCATTTCCTTGTTCAGAAACAGCCTCTTGTTCATTGCTGCTAATGCAGTGGATGCAGATTGGTGATTTGTGAATTCCACAAATGCATATGGATCATTTCCAGGCTCTCTAATTATTTTGCACCCTTTCACTGGTCCTATCTGAGCGAAGAGCGTGCACAGCAGATCCTCGGACACACTCGGATCCAAATTACCCACGTACAGTGTCTTTGGGCAACTTTCTTCCGACATTATGACGCCGGTACCTTTCACACGGGTCGCCTTCAAATGAAATACACACAAACACTGATGTCTTTTAATCGCGCATCAAACTTAGCTCGAACGAACGCAGGCACCAACAACAGCTTTTGGATACGCCTGGACTCACAACGAAAACGAAACAAGATGATGACAAAAAACGCAAAAATCTATGGCTAACTTTCTCTTCTTATTATTCCTCTCCTCACTCGAACTTACAGACTGTCAAACTAAACAAAATGGCAGGGCACTTCGTCAACTAAACTACCAAACATCCCCCACCACATAGACACTTTCTTTCTTCCTCAAAATCGCTGAAATTAATACAAAATGACGATTTTCGTATGCTTTTAATTGAAAAACTGGCTATGAAATTACCGTTCAACACGTTTCTCTGACGCTATTTTCTAGGCAATCCTCTGTCGTTAATTTAAATCTATGCAAGCCTGCAAACTGTGGGTAAAAAAAATCCGCCGGATCTCTCTTGTTTATTATCTACTCTTTTACACAACTTCACTTAAAATATTTTACAAATTTTAGGAACATTCATAACAAATATGATTAAAAATTAAAAATTGTCATATATAATAGATTATTTATAAGCAACTCCAAATAGACGTATCTGGTAAATCTAGATGTTTCTTTAGAATCCAAACACGATACAGTTTATCATAAACAACAAAAGAACACAAAAGCAATTATTATTAAGTATATTCGTTATACACAATATTAATAATAATTTGATGTGAATTTATGCAAATTATTTTATGGAATGTAAATTTCACAAATCTTTTATTATCTTCATGTTGGCTATAGAGTCGAGCAACAGCTGTCTGCTTGTATCTGACCAATCCCTGACAATAGATTTCCATTCTCTATTATTCCCAGAACAACCCAAAGGTTTTCTACAAGGAATCGGCTGTCAAAAATATAGGTTATATTTTGCATTACATATTTGAAATTGTTTTGATGTTTGACTGTTAAAATATGTGATGTTAGCTATTTTTTTGTAAAATGTCGAATCAAGATAGTGTGGAAGACCAACAGCGAAATGAATTGGAAGCGTTGAAAGTAATATCTTTTGCTGCTGTAATTTCATGGTGTTTCTATCATTTCTTTAAACTTTTTCAGGCTATATATGACAAAGATTTGGTAGACTTAAGCAAACAGAGTGCCTGGAATAAATGGAGTCCTCTAGATATATTAATCAAATTGACTCCTTTGAGGGGCAGTTCTGGCCTGACAGAAGAAAATGCCAAATTAAACCTGCATTTGATATGTCCTGTAAATTATCCAAACAAGTAAGAATAGTTTTATTTGGACTTTTTTTAAATAGTTAGTTTTATTATCACATTATTTTTACGTTAGGAACTTTTTTTGTAATCATTTATATACATTTCATGTCAATTTATATAGTTATGAATATATTGACTCATTTTTAATTACATATCTTTAAATCACATCATTGATGACAACTGTTATTTTTAAGAACACCAAAAATAATCTTAGAAAATACCACAGGCATGTCAAAAGAGACATTAACAGAACTTCAGATTAAATTGGAAAAGAAAGCTGACATTCTCTTAGGAGAAGTTATGATTTTTCAACTTTGTGAAGAGGTAAAAGAGTTTCTTTATGAGCACAACAAACCAGCTCCAATAAGTTTTTATGAAGAAATGGTACTGCGGAAGCATCAACAGGAAATGAAAGAAATTGAGGCTCAACAATTGATTGAGGCTTTGCAGGTACTTAAATTCATTCATATAACTTCAACCAATATGCTTTAATTATATATGTTTTTAAGACTAAAAAAGTTCGTGAAGAAATTCTCGAGAGAGAAGAGATATTAAAAATGGAAAATAAACGAATTAAGGAATCCAAGATGATCTCTGAAACATCTAACAATGGTGTTTCCTTACATCGAAGAACTAGTGTCAGGAATAGCGGCGATTCCAATGAATCTAGTGATGAAATTTTGCAGTGTGCACATTTAAACACCAAATCAATTTTATTTGTGAATAATGGAGAAATATGCATAATTCGGGGGAGATGCATTAGTATGTACAGTAAATAAGTTCAAAGATATCATTTATAAATTGTATTTTTAGATCACTCTGATAGGAAGTGCATAATATACAGTGGTATGGACAACAAGACAGGTCAATTGTATATTTTATCTGAATGGAAATTACCTGCTAATTGTGATAAGCAAATCTCCAGCATAGAACAAGAACTGAATTATTTGGTGAAATTGAAGCATCCGAATTTGGCACGGTATTTGAATAGTTTTCACGAAAAAGATGCTTTGGAAAGTAAATCGGTTTTGCATATCTTGCAGGACTTCGTTTTTGGTAAATACTTTTTAATTGAATGTATTTCATGTTAGTACATGACTTCAAACTTCAGGTTTAAATTGTTCACAACTTTATATTTCGGAAAACATTCCTGCTGAAAATAATATTCTAAGGCACATTGCAGAGGGTGTTTTGAATGCGTTAGATTTTCTGCATAGGAATAATGTAGTACATAAGAATATTTCATCATCGTGTGTCTACATAGACCGAAAAGGTTTGAGAATTATTTTTTTTTGTAACAATTTTTCGAATGTGCTTCATTTTAGGGAGAATAAAGTTATCAAATTACAGTTTGGATAAAAGACTTTCTGATCTGTTGTCTCAATCTCAGTCATCGAATTTTAGCAAAAAGTTGGATATTTACAGATTTGGGTTATTTGTGTTATGTTTGGTAAAGGGAGCAAATGTTGATGAAGAACATTTTGAAATTCCCATTAACATATCTCCTGAATTGTATGATTTTTTGTCCAAGTGAGTTTTAATTTGTAATAATATTCTAGTTTACAATAACCCAATTATTTACAGTTGTTTATGTTTAGAAGATAAAAGTAGATATACGGCAGCTCAATTATTAAACCACAAATTTTTGAAAGTACCCTTAGTCCGATTTACACCGTTTAAAAATGGAAACGAAAAGATTCCTGAACGGGCAGGTTCACCTGAGGTCCAAACAGATATACAAATCTTGGCTCATCATATGTCCAATGGTCAATCAAGAGTTGACAAAGAATTTGAAATGTTGGATCATTTAGGTTCGGGTGCATACGGTGATGTGTACAAAGTACGGAATATTTTGGATCAAAGATATTATGCACTCAAACGGATCAAGCTAAATCCACGCAACAGGCAGCTCAACAAAAAGATAATAAGGGAGGTTAAACTGTTATCGAGATTGAATCACGAGAATGTTGTTCGTTATTACAATTCCTGGATAGAAACTGCTGTATTTAAATCTGACAATCTAGACAGCGCAACATCTTATTCAACATCTAAAACAACATTATCTATTGAATCTTTAAATAAAAAGGTATATATATATATATAAAAGGTAAGGTTTAGTAGAAAACTGAAATGAGCAATTTCATGTTATAGGTGGATTCTGCAAATTACAGTAGCTCAATAGAAAAATTAGCTCCACCAGTTGACATTGATATGGATTGGTCAATTAGTTATGGAAATGATATTCCAAAGGATGGATGTTTTGACGATTCAAACAATGAAAGTGACGAAGATGACGATAACGAGAATTGGGGTTTACATTTGTATATATTTCCTATATGAATATGAATATATTATATTAAATGTCCGTTTGTAGGAGTGAAAATAGTTCCGATAGCATACTTTTCCAAAATGAAAGTGAATGCGTTTTATCCAAAAGCAATAAATCTGTTGATAATGGAGTTGTGAATAAAGTAGAGACGCGAATAAAGGAAATTCAATATATGTACATCCAAATGGAATTTTGCGATAAAAGTACTTTAAGAACAGCAATTGATAACAATCTATATTTAGATACCAATAGGGTATGGCGATTGTTTCGAGAAATTGTTGAAGGTATTTGTATATAACTTAGCTAACTAAAGCGATATCATCTGCATCATTATCTTTGCAGGTTTAGCACATATTCATCAACAAGGCATGATTCATAGAGACTTGAAGCCCATGAATATATTCATCGATTATAACGACCACGTGAAAATCGGTGATTTTGGTTTAGCCACAACAAGTTTGTTAACTAGAACCAATGAGACATTTGCAACAAACAAAAGTTATCTTGGTATGTTCACGTTTCAATTAATTTGTTTAATTGCTAATTCTCATTCCTTCTTATCAAGATAATCAGAGTTCACAAGAACAAACCGTTGATCCCAGTATGACTGGTCACGTGGGAACTGCTCTATATGTTGCACCAGAAATAACGTCTACAGCGAAAGCAGTCTACAATCAAAAAGTTGATATATACAGCTTGGGTAAGATGTGACTGAAGTTTAAAGTAGTTGTTCAATTCAGTTTGTCCTAGGGATTATATTCTTCGAAATGTGTTATAACCCATTGAAAACGGGAATGGAGAAAATTAATATTATTTCTGGATTAAGGTCAGAGAAAATATCGTTTCCACCCGACTTTTCTGATAAGGTGTTTGGTAATCAGGAGTATATTATAAAGTAAGACCTGTATTCTAAATAATACAGAAATGTACAGCATTTTTCTTTAGCTGGTTGTTGGATCATAATGTATCTCAACGGCCGACGTCGCAGGAATTATTGGAATCTGAAAACATTCCTCCACCTGTGCTGGAGGAAAGAGAGTTGCGCGAATTAGTTAGACACACATTAAGCAATCCTCAATTAAAAGCGTATAAATATCTGGTAGAGTCTTGCTTCAAACAGCAATTCACTGCTGCACAAGACATTACATATGATCGGGATGTTTCGCTTGCAAACACCGTGAAGAATATTCCCTTGTACAATTATGTAAAGGAAATTATAATCAGGGTAAATGCTCTTTTATTATGTATTGATATTATTGCATGATTTAAAGTTTGTACTGCTTTTAGGTATTTAAATTACACGGAGGACAATACGTATCAACACCTTTGTTAATGCCCAAGAGCAAATATTACGATAGTATAGATACTTGTGTGAAGCTGATGACTCATTCAGGTTACGTTGTATCAGTTCCCTACGACCTCCGGTATTATTCTCTATCATTCATGGAATGCTCATATTAATTGTCGCATTTCAGAGTACCATTTGCCAGATATGTTGCGTGGAACGAAATTACATCACTCAGACGTTATTCTATTGAAAAGGTGTACAGAGAAAAGAAAGTATTTGGTTTCTTACCCAGAGAATTATACGAATGTGCTTTTGACATAGTAAGCCCAAGCCCAGGTACGCTATTATTACAGTACAATATTATTATGTGAATATACAATAATTTTATATTTAGGGAATTTTATGGCTGACGCAGAACTGTTATATATCTTAAATGAAATAATCAATGAAATTACGGCGCTTAATAATCGTAACTTCTTGATTAGACTGAATCATTCGTTATTACTCAAAGCAATATTTATGCATTGCGGTATTAAAGAGAATATGCATAAAGAGTTATATGCTGTTTTATCGGAAGCTAAGGTAGGCATAATTGTTCATATATGTCCATTGAACTAACATTATTATGAATTGGTATTGTTGCAGGAAGGAAAAATTACCCAGTTGGAAGTTAGAACTCATTTGATTAACAAAGGGCTGTCGAATAATTCTATAGGTACGCTTTTCAATTTGATGGAGAGCGAAGGGACAATTAACAAAATAACCAGCCAATTACAAACCATCACGAAAAAGAAGAACACCGATGCATCGACATATGCAAAGCAAGCGCTACATGAACTGAAAATTATCCTAACTAATGCAGAAGCTTTAGGGGTTTCGGTAAATTTTGATTTTTGATTTGATACAATTTTCTGAACTTAAATAATTGTTTCAGTTCAATATTATCGTGTCTTTGGGTTTAGTGTACAACGTTCAGCAGTATTCAGGAATGATGTTTCAGTTGGTTTGTGAAGTGCGGAAGAAGAAAAAGATCGCAATGGATGTACTAGCAGCGGGTGGAAGATATGACAATATGATACGCACATACAGAAATACCGTGGTGCAAGATAATGAGTCAAGTATGGATATTAAACAATCGGCGGTGGGTGTTTCCATATCCCTGGATAAACTTACAAGCGCAATGCAAAAGAATCAGGATGACATGACTAATTTCGCTTATTTGGATGTTGCTGTTTGTTCATTGGGAACCAATGCTTTTATAAAAGAAAAGTCCAAGGTCAATTACTAGGTTTTCTTTGATGTCACTGTCCAACGTATATTTATTTGCAGGTTTTGAAAGATTTGTGGTGTGCTGGCATCCGTTGTACGTTAATAGATGCCTCCACCCTAGAGGAAATCCAAGAGCAATGCAACGAGCTAAAAGTCCCTCATGTGATTATTTTAAAAGATAGCGAGGTTAAAATAAAGAGTTGGGATAGGGAGCGGTAAGAAATATCTGCTTCTAAACAAAGTGCACAAACCTTTCCGGTTGCAGGTTCTTCGAGAAGAAAGCAACTATCGGCGATTTAGTAGAGAATATGCAGCGTATTTTAAAAATAGGAAACGACACTTGCCCCGATTCGAGAGTATATCACAACGAGCAAGAAATCAATGTGAACATAAATTTTCTCACTAGCGAAAAGCTCCTGGCAAATAACAGAAAGCGATTGGAAAATCAGGTAGCGCTATATGGTTATGGTCAATTTAAGCATGCACAGATGTAACGATTTTCCTTGTAGATTCGATCGCAAATGGATTCATTGTTCAAACGACTTAATGGATCTGTTTGCGTTTTAGTAATTAACCTAGAGATAGCCGTAATTAAAACTATGGTAGCGTTTTTGGATTTTGAATCGGAAAGTGTATTCAACAAATCTGTTGAGGAAGTCAAGGAAAAGTGAGTTGAATGAAATACTTTATATCATGTGCTCGTAATTGCTATTTTCACATTTGCAGGCATCTGCGACACAAGAAGTATTTACATGAGATCTGTCCAGAAATTTTCGAAGAGAAGAGCAAACGTGCGAATCCAGTTATTGTGCTTTACAGTTATAACGATAATTTATTTAAAGTAATATTTTAAATAATTAACATGTAAATATATATTTTTTTATATTTATTCATATAAATAAACTTATTTATAGTAAAAACACTTGATACTGATTATTTTTATATAATTTGATAGAATATTTTATATTTAATTCTAAGTAAGTAGATTTTCCTATTAATTGACATTTATAATATCATTCATTTACTTGATTTACTAATTAATTGTAGAAAGATATGAGACTACGAACTCTATATATATATTTACAAAGTTACGTTATGACAACATTATTAATTTTTAATTTAAGCCACTATTTCTTTCCCTAATTGCCCTTAATATAAAATTACTGTAGGCTCTTGCGTCATTCAAATAATATGTACTTCGACGAGAAGAATGATGTTGGCGGTGGAACACATTCATGTATTAAAATGTAAAACAGTTTTGTCTGCAATAGGCGTGATTCAGACGTACTCGAGACGTCGGGTTTTTATGAAAAATCAATTTCTTGGCTATTGTCCAAAGGCGTGTGATCAATCAGCCCTAAAAATATGGTAATGTTCCTTTTTCTTATCTTCTCTATAAAATACGCTCTTAAAAAGTATGAGATCATGCCAAAGGGATTCTATATCAACTGCTATCATATTACGTAGTAAAAATGTACAAAAAATTGCGTCCCCAAAAAATATTTTAACAAAGCTCTACGCCCAAATCTTATAAATATAGCTATTCAGCATACTTCATCCAATGATTATAATATAGTGCTATAGAATAGTGTATCACGTCGATTAGAAATAAACGTCAAAGTAAAGGTAAATTAGGAAAGTTGTAATTAAAGGGTCAAAGTATTTATTTTATATGTCGATCTTTAACGCTGAATTAGGGCGATTTTATGAGGCAATAAGACGGAATTTCATTTTATCGTAAAAAAGAGGACGAACCGGCCTTAAAAGTTTTACTTTCTTTACGATGCTCGACGGTGAAAGAGTGCGGAAAGAGAAGAATGATGTTTATAGATAAATAAGTAGTAATTTACGGTCACATGCAACTATCTTCACCAACGTGATTTCTAGTGTATGTACGTACAATACGTACGTACGTACAATAAATAACATTTTGTTACATTAAGCAACAAATAACGATAAAAATGAGTTGGAGATGACAATGTTTCATTACTAAAGTCAGGGTGAACAACGTATCTGCAACTTTCGGAAACAATCCAGTTAAGTTCATCATTTCAATGCATTTACGAAATCGTATTACCACAATCAGACGGCAGCCCAGGGCAAACCGAGCTTATGCAATCGTTTTACTATTTATGCTTCGTCCGTTAATTTAATTTATTCCCCAGCGTTCTTTCCCTACATTCATTAAATGCAGATTAAAAATTCTGCGTCAACAGAGTTGCCGAGAATCAAAAATAATAATAACTGATGGATGGAAAACAACAACGCCAGAAACTGAATATTTAATCAAAAAGTTGCATTGGTGCATTATTTCCAACATATATTGTTTTCTTCAGTATAGCATTGAGTATAAAACAACGCCATCACGTTTCAGTGAATTTCAGTTTTTATGTATCTAAAATAATGTAAAACGGTTTGTGATCCTTACGTAGAATTATATAAATAATAGTAATGTACTGAAACTAGATTAATATAAATATTTTTAATATACATACCTCAATATATTTTTTTTTATAAGAAAGTTTTGGGAAAAATTGCGTTGTTTTGTTTGGTGCAATAAACGTATGACGTATGTTCAGTAATTATCTTAATTTTGTTAATTAAACTTCAATTACGATTATTGAGAATATTGAAAAACTGCAGCGATCTAATTTGGTACAATTTTTATTTTTATATTATAATAAACGAATGTCGGTTTGGAAGGTTCGTGTTTGCTTAAAAGTTTTGCGGAATAATTCGACAATAAAAAAAGGGAGAATCGGTCCCGGACGTCTCATTTCCTATTCCAAACATACTTGTGGAACAATCATGGGGGACACGACGTAAAGTTTTTCAAAAGAAGGAACGATGTTTGTTTTATTATTGCTTTAAGGGATGTGCAGAAGAAAAGAGAGAAATGAAGTCGATGGATTTAATATCAATTCGGATTCTGGTTTAGGTGGCTATAATGAATCGCCTTTACGTTATATGAGAATATATATACTTATTTGAGAGCTGAAAATCGCGAATGGAACAAGTACAGTTCATATAACTGTCAGTGAGAAAGCGTGTCCACTTTATCTCGGTCATTTATGATGGATATATGGTCAACGACGAAACCAACTGTCCCACCCCGCAATTCCATTTATACTTGCACAACTTTATTTACTAATGTATCATGAAAAACATGTAGGCAACCATTAATTATCTATGTATTTATTACGATAACATTATTAATTCTATAAGGAAAGTCGTTATAACATTTAACATTTGGAAAGAGACATAATTATAATTTTCGAAGTACTGCGTATGGGTACTATATTTAAATCATGTTTTTCGCTAAAAAATATAAATTTAATGAATGTTCTGCACATTTCCTATCTTTCACTATACAAAGGTAGCATTCATACATTTTGTATACGTCACATGTGATCGATACTTACAAACGGAATAAAATAAAAGCTGAAACATTAATATTTGTGCAAATATAAATAATAAACTAACCAGAGAAAATAAATGTTTAGAATATTTACGATCATATAAAAATATTTATATTGTCTATAAGTAATAATATAAATGAAAATTGTGACATTTTTGTATAATAGATGTCCATAGTAAGTAGAATATGTCTTTTAGAATTAGTGTCAGTAAGAATGTTAAGGAAGAAAATAGTCTCAGATAGAATATCATAGTAACTACATCGTATCAAATAACGTTGAGAGAAGAACATTCGCAATTAATGAATAAAGTTTTGTAAGCCCAGGTAAATTTACTTACATTCCTAACTAGTGAGACTCCTCAATGATAAAACTGTAGATTAATATTAGATTATATATACTCTGTCTATTAGGTAGGTTGGTTAGTGAAATATTTGATGTAATGTTTATGTAATCTTGCTGCAATGGAAATTTTCATTTCGTGTTTAATGACGTTCCCGAAGGATAACATGGTCCTGCTATCCGGTCCCGGCAGGCCAGCAGGTGAGTAGCAGGAAGTGGTTAATCTATAATGCATACACCTGAAAGCATCTAGAGATTTTAGAAGGGAAATATTCCTTCATTTATGAAAACGCCGTCTTTTGCTTGTTTCATTAAATCGAGGAGAATGACATTCATTTGTTCACGTACTGCTGTGTTAGGTTGTAAAGAATGCTAGACGTTTTAATCATTCGCCTTGCAGTAATTACAAATGTTATCCATGCGTTGATCGATTACGGAATTCGGGCAAGTTTCGCTGAGTTTTGATTGGAAATGAAGAGAAAAAATTATCACCGTAAAAGTTTTCCTCGTATATGTCATGGACTCATCAAACATTTATGGATCCACTGGAAAATGTGCGGAGATTTGCGGGGTCATAACTTGTACAAAGAATCGAACGAAGATCATCAAAGCCGTACATTTATCAAAGGCTACCAAAAGTTTGTGGTCAATCTTCATTCGGTTGCCTTTATTCGTCCGGATCCATTTATTCAGATTGCGGATGCGCATCGTTAGTTATATCTGTTTAAAAGCCCGGTTATGGTCAGTTTGAGACTGCTCTAATTCAATGGAAGATAAATTACTAAGACGCAAAAAAATCATATATCACAAATATATTCGGGCGGCGATGCTCTCATGAATTCGCCATGAGCGAAATGTATATAAAATGCGATCGATTCCATTACAATACATTATCGGGAGATTTGTAATGCAGAATTACTTTCGCATTCTTGGGGGGCTGAAACTTACAAATTTATGCACTCTCCCTATTTTGTACCATTTCTGCCAAAAGCCATTTATTCTATTGCAACAGATAACTTATTGAATACTTAAAAGGATAAATGATATAAATATTATTATCGATTTACTATCAGCAGAATCTTTTCAATATATCTGCTCATTCCATACGAAAGATAGCAATAAATATTCAGAGAAGTACATTCAATAAATAAAAAGGAACAAATCTATAATATGTATAAACCAAATATTTCGTAATATTAATATTAGTTACTGTTCAAGCAGCATCACTAATGCATTCAGCAAAATGTAACATAGTTGTAGATTATTTATTCAAATTTCGTAGCCTTTTCGAAATGGAAGTATCTGCACATATAATGTTTATTATATGCAGGTTCTTCCATTATTAAGTTTATTTATTTATAAGGTTCAGATTGTAGCAATCAATATTCTAGACAAAATTTCAATTTCGTCATCTATATCTAACTTACAGATTTGAAGACCTTTCCGAGAAAAGAAATAAACCCATTTATTGGAATATTTTGAAAATCAATCTTTATAAAACAGATATTAGAAAACTTTTGGAACTGAGATATCAACAAAAGTTTCGGCAATAACTCAATTGAATTTTTGAAAACATATATATTTTGTATGTTATTGCTGCACTACATTAATACAAATTGGGGTTGTATTACGTAAGATAATAATAAACAAAAAATAGAGGAAGCGTTGTTAATTTAAAAAGACGCAATATAGGGAAATTTAAGGAAGATCTATGCAGTTGTGCTTAAAGGGCAAGAATTTATCATATTAAAAATACGGAAAAAGTTGAATAAATCTTGGGGACGTTGTATCGCGGCACCAGGGAAAGGACATTTTTACCCTGTCGCATTTTTAAATTCCGACCTGATTAAAGTTCGAGAAAATTGTTTCGGCCCTTTTCCATTTGACGACAGGATCTCTTATTCGGCCGTCGTTTATTTATATTATTTCGGTCATAAATATATTACAAGGAAGACGAATTAGCGCACTCTCTCCGAATTTATTTAAATTTTATGGTAAAACTGTCATTATGTCTGTCATTATCCAATTCCCAAAAATGGGGACTCTTAAATTAACTTAATAAATCTCCTTGAATAATGATTACGAAATTATTTAATATGGCGTGCTCGTGCGGTATTAACTGAAAATCCTGTTCCTTTGAGGACTGCCGTTGGGAAGTTTCGTGCATTGTTCCTTTTGTTTGTAAATATAAATAAACTTGGGAATATTATTAAGCGAGGCTGCAAATAAAAAAAGAAGCAATATTAAATAAAACACAAAAATAATACTAAGAGGCACACATGCACAAAGAATGGTGAGGGAGTTAGGAAGGTAAATATTTTTTGTTGCGTAGGTCCTCCTGGAACTGCCTTACAATGAATTCGTCAAATATTTATACAAATTTGCATCGTGTTTGCCCGTGCACAATGAAAATAAAGGATAACAGGGAGAATATTGCAAACGCGATCGTAAAAGGGTTTCGGAATGTTTTTTTTTTCTTCGTCGGAACTGTTCGGTCGATTTCATGTCACTTAATTAAA